AATATACAGGGACTGAATGACGAGCTGACGGGAAGCTGCACTTCTGTCTCCATCTCTTTCAGCTCTCTAGTCCTCTGGCTCTGTAGCAGAGCTGTTTTTAATTCATTTGGGGCAAGTCAAAGTCACAGATTTGCTCTGATAGAGACATGTCCATGGAGACATAGAGACAAGTCGATTCTTATGTCTTTCAAAATAATTTACAAAGCATTTGAAGTCACTATCAAATTTTTTTTTTTATTCTGGGATTTTTACAAGTCAAGTCTTTAGACAGTCAAGTCTCAAGTAAGTGAAGTCCGCAGTCCTTATTTTTCAAAACTATGGCCCTTTTATATGGGCCAGTTTAATTACACACTTCTTAGAATATAAAACACTATGTTCCAGATTTATTTTGGTCCAGCCACTGTGGTATCTATCGTCACTATTTGGCTTACCATCTTTGTAAAGACCGCTTTAGAAAGGTTCTATAAAGAACTGCACTCAAATGGTTTCTCATTGGAAAAAATGGTGCTGTAAAGAACCTTTTATTTTACATTTTGACTTTTATATCAGACAAAACAACCCTTAGGAATCCCCTTTTTTCTGGGTGTTCTGTATCTCATCCATCCAGCTTTTCACTCTGCTGGTGTTTACTCATTATCTCATTCTAGACAGGTTGCCAGACATCTGAACCGGATGTTAGGGAGCCGGTAGCAGCCGCTGGAAAGTCCACTTCCTGAGAAAACATTCCTGCTCGTATTGTTGTGGTTGTTTTATTAGCACGCTGTAACCCCCGTGAGGGCTTGATAAAAAAGTGAAATGGTGCAAATGCTGGATAAAGGTTGTCCAACATGTCGATTAAAATGATTAAAGGGTGGGAGAGTTGGATTGTTATGCTACTAGCCGGATATGCTGAAGTTTCACTTTAGTGGACGGGACTTTAGACTGAAGGAAAACATCACAAACATTGTAAACCTTGCTTCTTCCACATGTATGTGCTGTGTGTCGCAGATGTTAGTTAGCCGTTGTGCAACAGTAACTAACCCAAAATCCAAAATCACACTTTGCCTTAGCTGGCACCTCTACAGCTACCACTCCACGCTCCATAGCTCTTGTCAAAGCTGGACTCAAACCGGCGACCCGCCTGTTCCCAGCCTAAGCCTTACAGACTGAGCTACTGCCGCCCCAGAAAGTGCTTAAAGTAGCAAATGGAAGCAATTTTTGATACCAGAGAGCAGATCAGAGGGGAATGGCTTTTCTAGATCACCCTAGTGTTAGTCTTTTTTCAGCATGCTCTGTAGTGTCTTCACTATCAACAGTCTCCATCGGCATCGAAACAGCAGCATCCCAAGCTGACCAATGTTGATGACTCCACATGGTCTGTACGTAGAGCAGTAACTTCAATGTATAGTTACAGATAGCTATGATAGCTACAGCAGCCACTGTACGGACAGTAAACAGGCCCAGATCCAATGTTTTTAATTGACTGTTCAGATTATTTTTCTTAAATGTGGCCCATATCACACTCCAATGTGACCTGACTGTGGCCTGCATGTGCAAAAGAATAATACGATGTCACACGCAGCAGAAGTAAGCTGAAGAAAACACGGCGACCACAGAGGTTAGCCATCCCTCTCGATTTTCACGGGAGACTGCCGTTTTTCATTGCCCTCTCCCAGTTTCCTCCCGGTTCTCCTGATTTTCTATATTTCTCCCAATTTATCAGAATCTGATTTGGGACACTTTGGCCTGTAGTCTGACCTGGATTCGGGGGGCAGAAAGTTGGCCTGGTACTGCTGGTTAGAACTTTGTGTTTAATCGTTTGAGCTGTCTGCCAGCATCATCAGTTTACACTGAGACCTTAATGAGAGCTGGGGAACCTACTGGCACCGCTGCAACTATGCCTGGGTGTGTCCGAGCCTATTCTGTAGAATGTGCGTGCGTGCCTGCAGTATGTGTTGTGGGTGTGTGGGATTTCATCTATGTCACCTCATTGCCTTCTCGCATAGCTGCAAGGATGCGCGTGTGTGTGTGTGTGTGTGTGATCTCACGTGTGTCTTACCTCATACCTTCACACATCCCTGCAAGTTGGAGACTTGTGAGAGTGCGAGTTCAGTGAGCAGCCCCGGGGTGAGACACCGACTGGCGCAAACATCTCTCATCTGTCTTTCATGACGTTTCTTTTTTGTTTTGTTTTTTAGAAAGAAAGAATGGAAGGAAAGAGAGGAGGGGTATTGTTTTTGCTAGAGAAAATAGAGCGAGGCTTCCCCTGAGGTTGCGGCTGGTCTGTCATGTCATGTGGTTGCCGTGGTTACTGTGTGTAATCATTGTGTGTGCATGAGAGGAGAGGGTAATTTGGAGTTCCTGTTATGTATTGTTATGAACCAGACAAATAGACAAAAAGTGCAGTCTTTGTTAGGGACACACCCATTGTGATGGTGAGATGTTATTGGCCCTTAAAGCAGGCTGACTGGCTCTGCTCACCACCACGCCTCCTCTTCTTTTTACTGTGTTTCAAATGAATGCCTGTAAATAGGCGTATGTGTGTTTCTTTTTGTATGAGCCTTTTATAGTACAGTATAGTATACGCTAGTACACAACACGGTTGGGTACTGTTTCAGTTTGATTCTGATTCCAATTGTACTTATCAAATCCGGTTCCTTTGGAATCTCGGTTCTAATTCCAACCCGTTCCCCACAAATCTTGGCTGTTTCTCAATAGACGAGTTTGGCAAGTTTGGACTTCTGGGGCAGATCCTATCCTAACTGCTTGGTTACCATGGTAATAAGTGTTAGGAAGTGATTTAGGGAAAAGGCCATTACAGATTAACAGTTCCTAAGTCAATATTCCTTTCCTAACTTAAGATAGGAAGTGTTTAACAGAAGCATCCTAACTTCGTAAAATCTTAAATAAACTCTCCCAACTTTAGGAGAACTGTTGAGCTGTCCTAACTTTTACTTTTCCACTAGGTAGTGTTTGCTAACTCGTTTAATCCACATGGTTGCTCTTTAATTGCTTTTACAAAATCAACGAAATATCAACAGGCGGAACTTCATTGATTCTACCGATGTGTTTGATGACAAAACACTCGTTAGTAGAAAGGCAGCAGGAGATGTAACGCTAGATAATGCCTCATTATGTAACATAATGTAGAGGCTTGATGTAAGAAAAGGATCCTAATGTAAGTCTTTGATAGAAGGAGATCATTAAATTCAAGAAACACATGAAAAACATTTAATTATTGTTATGTTAGCCCACAGCCTTTATTAGCCTTTTTTGTTACCGTCATTATTAACTATCCCGATGAAAGAGTAGCCTACGGGTTTCTGCCGGGGTCAGTGAGGGAGCACAGGAGGAGCCACCACCGGTTTTCCTCTGCTCACAACAGTTGCCTTTCTCTTCGTATCACTTGTAAATGGACTTGTTTTCTTTTTCTCTCTCTTTAATCTCCCGAGTTAAGCGTTATGTGGATTTGGAGTTTGGAGGTTACCAACACCTCTAAGTCGTCTGACTTAAAGTTCAATGATAGTTGTTGTTTCTGCTCCACTTTTCAGTTTGTGTTTTATCAAAAAACAGCGATTAAAAGCCGTTTAGCTCGCGGGATGAGAAAAGTGACATCGGTTGCTAAGTAACAAATAAAAGTTGATAACCGATGTTGGATTGAGTGTTTAGGATTTCCTAACCTGAGATAAGACAGGATAAAGTAAGATAAGATAGGATTCCTAAAGTTAGTTAAGATTTGCTTCTGTAATACCAAATTGAGAAATATCTATCTTAACCTATCTTAAGTTAAGACAGGAACTTTCTATAATATGGCCCCTGTACTTTAAATCTCGGAAATACAAACTCGCCGGAACGGGAGCACTCAGTCAGTCATTCAGCAAAAGCAAAAGAAGTGGTCTTGATGACAGCCGACACGTTAGCGAGTGGTACCTCACATCTCTCGCAAATTTTCAAGTCAGCTCTGTCTTGAGAAATCAGCCACAAATTTGGAGTTTAAACAACTATATTCCTGCATTAAAAACTCTTACAAACTGCATTCCGTGACACAAGAACAGCAGAATTATACCTTACAGTTGTGAGTTTTACCCTCTGCCATTTCCGCATGCATTCTGGGATACTTGGCTATCTGAAGTCCACACTAGTCACCACCGATGCAGGCTCGGTAAAACGGGTGGAGCGAGAACACATCTGGGAATTTGACTGTACTTGGCTAGATGCTTTTTGACTTTTGAATGGGAACAGTACTTGGGCTGCGACTGATGCCGTTTCAGTCCACAGAACACAAGTACGCAGATCGAGAAACAGCTCTTGTCAGCGCTCTGTGACCTTCATCCTTCATGGCTAAAGTGAAATGAGTCTTTGTACTATAAGGGGGTCTCTGGGGACTGGTATCTAAGAAGATGTCAGGTCGGCATAGCCGCTCCTGGAATCCCACCATTGAATCTTTGCAGAGGTGTTATAAAATGAGGATCGGACCATTTTGGCTATATGGGGGTGCTCAACGTCTGATTTTACATAGAAGTACCACATAGAATATACAACCTATTGTGATAGTCATAAAACATATAAGTATATAAATGAACATGTGAACAGAAGGGAGCTTTTAATAAATCTTCTTAAAGTGCCAGAATAAATCAAAATTGTAACACTAACCCTTAAGGTCAGTGAGCATGTGTGGAGTAGCGTGTGTGTGTGTGTGTGGGAGAAGAGGGAGAGAGACAGAGAACCAAGTAAATAAATGCCAGCTGTATACCCTGTGATCAGTTGGCTGAATTAAGAGACAACCAACCTGATGCTTGTCCTTCAGATTTTTGTCACATTTTGAATTTAGAATTAGCTTGAAGCCATTCATGTTCCAGGAGAAGCATTCAGATTTTGCCTTTAAATATGTTCAGTCACCAATTTTGTCTAATCTGTCCCTCTCTTCTTTTTGTCCCCTTCTCCTGTCCATCCTTCCCTTTTCTTGTTATCTTTTCCCTCTTTCCTTCCTATACCCTTTCACCCTCCCTCCCTTATCACAGTTTGTGGTTGTGAACTGGCCCAGGGAGGCTTCTTCGTGCGGCAGGGCGAGTACATCTGTACTCTGGACTACCAGCGGCTGTACGGGACTCGCTGCTTCAGCTGCCAGGACTTCATCGAGGGGGAGGTGGTATCCGCCCTGGGCAAGACCTACCACCCCCGCTGCTTCGTCTGTGCCTCCTGCAAGTAAGAAACAGGGATTCAGGAAGTAGGATTCAAAACCATATTTAGATTACGCATGATTAGTTATCTTTGACTTTAACAGCATTGAGTTGTGACATCACTTAGTCTTGAGTCTTCTGGCCATGAAGACGTTCCATGTTCATGAAGCAGGTTACAGTGAACATGTCACTGACAATGACCTTTTGTGTGTGATGTTTAAGCCAACATGGACGAAAATCCTTAAAGTTCTTAAACACCTTAATTCCAGGCAAACTCTATCACATAAACAATATCAACTAATAATAGTAATAAAACTCCAGAACAACTACTAAACTGACCTTGACCGTCAGTTGCTGTGGAACTTCACATTATGATGTGAAACCTACACGTTAAGACTGAATTGGGGCTTTTCCTTGCAAACAACTTGGTCACACGTCTTTTGCCTATCTATCCGTGCTTGGCAGTGCAACCCTGATTTTGTAAAAATGTTAAATCAGACAAATCAGATTTTCAACTCCTCCAATATATTTCGTACAATTCAGTTTGTGCTGACTAAACAACTGACAGGTTGCCTACACATTCTTGTGCATTCACAGCTGCTGCTTGTATTATAGCCACAGGCAGGACAATATGCACAAAGGAAACTCAAAGTTCTTTATATAATGCTTTATTAATATTAAATAAGAAATACAGATATTATATATTATAAGATAGTTCAAGATGGGAGTGAATGTTGGAACATAAAGGATTTTTAACCTGTCAAAATCAGGGGAAGTCTGTTCCAGCTCTCTGGTGCATACTAAAAGCCTCAGTGTGCTTCAAACGACTGTTGCTGGTTGGATTGTTGAACAGCTTTTGAAACCCCATCTACCGACACTGGAATTGGAAAGGCTGTGTGCGACTATTTGTGTAACTTTGTGAAAAGGCAATCTGATAGCGATGCCCCCTTCACACAGTGATTGGCCTGGCTAGTAGTAGTAGTCGACAGTGTTTGACCCGAGCAGCGACATTCGTAATGCGCTGAAGTTGGCTGACGTGCACTTATTGCACACTAGAATTCTCTACCTAATCATCCATCTTTAGTATTTAGCATTAGCCACATTTGTTACATTTAGGAAGACTTGAACGTGTAGATAACTAAGAAGTGGGGAGATGTACGTGTTTGTTTTCCATGCATCATTTATTGCATTTCTAAGGTTGAATTCAGACCAAATCAGGCACTGCTGCGAAAACACAGGTCCCCTTATTCATTTGAGAGGGGAAGTGGGTTTAGTCAGTGGGGGGTCGCAGGGGATGTGGTGAAAAAGTTGAAAAAGAATCAACTTTTGGAGAAACGCAACCGATGTCACGCTGCAATGGTCAATCTGGCCACAGTGCTCCATAGTCAGCCTGAAATCTCAGTGAAAGCAGGCAGAGCTCATGGCCCAAACTATGATACTTTCCCCCGTCCTCGGGTGGTTTATTTCATGTACCCAGCTTTGGTGTCTGTGTCTGGTTTGGGTTGGTTAAGCGGCCTAGAGAGTGATTGAAGAGAGGGAGAGCTGGTAGTTGAGAAATTTTTTTAACGTAAGGTCTCAAGCACAAACACGCCCACTCCTCTGCACAACCCTGCAGCTAATCACTGCAATGCTGGATTTGGTCTGAATACAGCATAACCCTGAACCTTAACAAAACCCCTATTTGTTCAGAGCACTTTTTCTCAGGGTGTCTTCATGTCCTTACAGGTCTCAGAATGTCTTAAAACATCTTGAAGGGCATACAAGTTCTTTTTTGTGGACTCTTGGAAGATTAGCCAACTAGCTAAAAGAGATCCAAATAACTCAAATCAAGTCACATTAAATTTGAAGTAGAGATACTAGACACTATTTCAGAATTGAATAGGGTTACTGTAATGCAAATCTAGCTGGTTGCCTGACACCTCCTTGTACTTTCCCATGACTGAAAGAGCTCAAAATCAAAATACAAAAGAATCTTTTCAGAGGGAGGGAGACGCAGCAGTTTGTTTTCATCATCAACAGCAGCACTCCTCTGGTGTAGGTGTAATTTACAAGTACATAAAACTATAATATACACACATAAATATAGGAAAGCACGGAAGGACATGTGTTTCTGCAAGTCACAGTCATCTTCACCTGTTCACAGCCATGTGCATGCTTCTACTGACAGTGTAATGTGTGTGTGCGTGACCAGTGATGGTTCTCAGGACTAGAAAAGTAACGGGAGCCTCTCAGGCTGGAATTCTGAGTGTGTGGTCAGTCAGCGCGGCCACTTAGCCCATTCCCATAGCTAGTGTTAAGTGTCTTTTGAACCGAGGGTGGGTTTTGTGTGCGAGTGTGTGTGTGTTTGTGCCATCATACCTCTGTGATCCCTATGCTGAACCTGAGATAAGAATGTTCCAGTGTGGCATTTGAGGTTTGTAATGTGATCATTAAACCCCTGTGCTCCTCTTATAACAAATATGGCTTTTGTGGCGGCAAAACACACAAGCTTATTGTGAGAAATGTAAAAATAGGGCTGAGAGAAAGAGAGCAAATAGACTTCACACTGCTGTGTGTGTGTGTGTGTGTGTGTGTTTGTGTGTGTCACGGTCACAGTGCTGTATTGATCATCAATAATTCATCAAGAGTAATTTAGCTCTGTTTCTACCTTTCACTGTCTGGGTTTCTGTCTGTATGTGTGTGCCTCTTTCATGCATGCAGCTACATCACAATACACCTGCAACTGCAACAATACATGTATTAGTCTGCCTCTATCTCTCTACATACACTATGCCATCATGAGGTCAGGTCCCATATTCATCACATTGATGAACTGAGGTATCAGGTAGAAACACAAAGAAAATTCCATCCAAATGAGCTCAGTTTCGAGTAGACACTTAAATAGAAAAAATAAATCAATTATAAAAAACTATTTAAATTGTAAATTAGAACCAACACACTTTTGTATCATGCAGAATCAACCAACCGGATAGTGAGAATGTAACACGATGCAATAAAATGTTTAAAGGATTCTGCCGTACAAAGCAGAAGCATAGGAGCTAGTATATCTGGTTAAAATGAAAGACCAGGAGGTGAATCTTTAATATTTTCTTTCACATATCAACAAGACTTTGGAGTCTAGAGCCATGCTATTAGCTAACTAATGGTGTTGTAGTCAAGACCACCCAAAGTGAGACCAAGTCATGAACAAGACCAGAGTGTATCAAGACAAGACCAAGACTAGAGAGGTTGAGACCAAGTCAAGACCAAGACCAAGGAAGCGGGACAGAGTCAAGACCAGGACCTAGGCCACACGCATGATAAAATGTGGAATAGGCACTCTTCTCAAATTGACCTGAAAGACCCACATTCCCATAAAAACACCCACAACCAAACACTAAGAGCTAGAATTGATTTAAGCATATTTAATATGTACATTTTTCATAGATGTGGAAGCACATTACTCCATCTCTACGCTCTGCTGTAACATCTTAGTCTAGCTCTCTCGTGGATACCACGGCGTGTGACTTTTATGTCGCGAGTTGTATGCAGCTAACATTAGCTAAGGTTAACTTACACATTAGCTACATACAGTAGCTTTATGTGGCCTGTGCAGGAGGTAATCAGGCAAATGTTGTATTTTCTAACCTAGTATTCGTTGGCAATGCAATAGTTTTGCCTTCAAAGCATCTAATTGATTTAATACACAATGTACTTCACATCTCTCTCTCTTTTTAATTTATTTTTAACTAAACTAACTGAATTCCACAACCACCCAACCTTTAACTAGGGGACATTGAACAATCAGAAACTGAAAACATTGGTAAATCAAAAGATTTTGTTTAGCATTTGAAATAAAAAACTAAAGATATATAGTGTAGAAGATGTATACAAAAAATATCTGTCAGTTGAAGCAAATAATCTTAAATTTCAATGAGCTGCAATCACTTTAAATGTCTATTTAACAATACAAGTGGAAAAACATCATGCCGTTTAGGCCTGATGTCAACCCAAAAATAAATTCCATTTGTATAGACTGTACAGATTTTGCAGCCTGTGCACACCACTGATTTTCTATTTCTGTGTCCCAATATAATCAGTCCACCTCTTGTCCCACTATAAACAATGTGCTTAGCCTCAGACGGACAGACAGGTGAACATGGTTTCACACGTTTTTTTCACATTCCTAAGATGACTTTCCCTCTGAATAATATTGAGCACTAGTGGGTAGAAGTAATATCTGTTTCCATAGAATTATTTGTGCTTTCCTGAATAATGTATTTGGATCGGGGTACATCACTATTGCCTACAAAGGAAACTGGAAAGAAAAATGGATACAGATGTCTCATAAAAAGATAAGCTGTCAACATCAGTTGAACCTGCTGCCGAGATTTGCTCTCATTCAACCGAAAGAGCATTAGTGAAGTCCAACACTGATGTTGGGTGATAAGACCTGGGTCAAAGTTCGTCCCAAAGGGTTGCGGTTTGGGCTGTATGCAGGCCAGTCGAGTTTTTCCACACTAAACAGTGGAAATCATTTATTTGTGGAGCTGGCTTTGTGCATGGGGCACGCACACTATTGAAGCACACTATTTAATTAGCAGAACTAAATGTGTGCAGGCTGAAGAAAGTATTGGTCTCTACCTGTGACATGTGTCCCCCCCACAGTTCAATTCTTCATCTTTTTACTATTTATAGTAAGAGGTTGGTTTGGAAGTTCCGCAATGTACTAATATCCACTTTTATGCAGATAACACTGTTATTTACTGCTCTGAGCCATTACAAAAAGAAGCTTTATGTCATTTGCAATCTGCTTTTAAGTACCATGGTTAACAAATCCTAAGAATGAATCAGACCTCCTGTTTTTCACTGTGCTGAGATTGAGTCAGTATATGTGTACAAATATCTTGGGTTTTAACCCATATTATATCGCCTCAAAAGAAAAGTCCTGTTAAATTTCCTTCTGTTCTAGGCTAACAAGTCGTTACATGCAATAATGTATTTTCTTCACACATTGGACTCTTGTTACCATAGTGAACCCAAAGTACCCAAAAGTCTGCAGACAAGGAGGTCCGCATTAATACAAATAAATTCTTTGAAATCCTATGAGAACCAAACATCTCGAGGAATGGTGAATAACTGTTTTTACTTTGCGTGTCAGATCAGGCAACTTATTGAGGGGTTGGAGTCTGCAGGAAAACCTTCCTCACCCTCCTTCAACAAGCTGCTAAGCCTAAAACTGTTTTGTCTGATGATGGTGATGATGATCTTGTTTCAGAGGCTCAGAATACATTTATAAGCTTTGGGAAGTACAAACCTGTCAGTCAAAGCTCTCATCTGATGTTTTGTCTGTTTTCTGTTTGCAGACAGCCGTTCCCAGCCGGCGACCGAGTGACATTTAACGGGAAGGAGTGTATCTGCCAAAACTGTACCCAGCCTCTCCCTGCCAACAGCCCTGCACCCATACAGGCTGTCCACAGTCAGTACTTAATTTATGTCTCCGTCTCTCTGTGACTGTCTCCGAAGCATAAATCATGCCAAAAGTAAATGTTTGCACCCTGCAAACTATGATTTGTTACACTGCCAGTTCCATCCCTTACATTGTGTGAAGTCATCCCACTCTCTGGAAACCGAAATGTCCTTTATGCTTATTGAAACCAAAGTACTGTAGCAGGAACTCTTCCACTCAGAGAAAGTAAATTTTAGGATAATTTCTCATCACATATCATCTCGTTGTCTTCTTTCCAGACTGCTGCGGCTGTGGGAAAGAGTTTAAAAATGAACAGTCTCTTGTAGCGCTGGACAAGCACTGGCACCTGGGCTGCTTCAAGTGTAAAGTCTGCAACAAGGTGCTCAATGCCGAGTACATCAGCAAGTAAGTCAGTCTGACAGACCTACTGTTTAACTACACTTCATTACTATTACTATTACTATGGCAAGTGAGAGTTGGTTAGTGTTGGATGTCACAGAATGTCACATGACAAGTCAAAACTTGTCAAAGCCAACCATATGCTGTGATCGCAACATCCCGTTTCCTGTTTGTTTCTCTACAATGACCTACAGGCAGTGAGTTTAATACATGACATTAAATTGTGTTCTAAAAAACAAATGCTGCTAGAGCTGATAGCAAAATCAAATGGTTGTGAACATATCAGACCCATATTTGCTAGTCTTCACCAGTTACCTTACAATTTCATTCATGCTGCTTTCTTTTGCACCGAAGGCAGGAGTTTGCATCCTTTTTCCCACGTGTGGTTAAGATTAGGTTAGAAAAACACTTACTTAAGGTTTGGGAAAGACTATGGTAATTATTTGTTTATCTCTAATATACTTCTAATGTTTTACTGTTCTTATCACACCTCTTGTCTTTTCACTTAGCCATTGATTTTACATGTAATAGCAGTGCATAACACTGTTTTGAATAGTGCTACCTGTACTAGATAAATAAAGGTACAAGGTTGTTTATTAGTCATTATACAGCACAAGGCTGCATAATGAAATGAAATTTGTAGTTCCTTTGTGCTACACACACAACATATTAATATATATATATATATATATATATATATAAGTGTAGGCCTATAACATTTAACATAAACCTTTAACATATAAAATAAAATAAAACAATACAGTTGTTTATATACATACATACACGTATACACCCTGAACATTGCCTGCTTATTCAACATAAAGTCAAAGCATTTAAATCCAGTACATAATACAGTACCATCGTGCCAACTGGAGTACAAATAGAGAACAAAACAAATGTTTCTTAGACAGTTCAAGAAGCCAATTTATGACTTTCCCCTCTGTCAGGATGTTTTAAAGTCTAACGTACACTGTTAGGTAAGAACACAACACTGGAATGCCATCCTCAGACTTATATTGCAATAAAATACTGCAGGAAAAAGTAAATTATGGCACTAGACAGCAGTTGTAGTTTTATATTTGGTGTCAAATATTTACAAATGATCGCAATCTAATTTTGTCATCATAGTTGGATGCTGCAACCAGCACAGGGCTCTGAGCTGTTTTTATGTGAAGTGTATCTGATGCTCTGTGCTGTCTCTGATCTGCTGACTTGTCCTGTGTCGCCACATCAGGGATGGAATCCCCTTCTGCGAGATGGACTACCACGCCATGTTTGGCATCCAGTGTGAGAGCTGCAAGAAGTACATCACCGGAAAAGTCCTGGAGGTAACGCTGCAGCACTACTATTGTAGATCTAAAGAAGTCTCTCTAGATGGATGAACAGCTGAGGTACAGAAAGAGTAATGTGGGAAATGGTAATAGTAATAAGCCTAATCCTTAACTATGTTGTAGTTCTTGTAACCAGGAACAGTTGCATGGTTACTGAAAGACAACTCTACTAGTGATAGTTCGGTGTAATATTCAACAAATAACAGTGAGAACATGTCTTCATGGATGCTGGATAAATACATAATACACAGATGTTACATCACAAAGTAAACTAACTAGTTATGGGAAGTGCTACTCATTATGTATATCCAGTAAAAGTCACACTGGAGAAAACTTCCAAGGCTTGGATGGAAATGAAACTTCCTGTTGTGTTAGGAAATATTTGGGTCTTTGATAAAGATTCAAAGGAACAAGCTTGTGTATATAACAATGTGAGAAGTCAGAGATGAAAAATTCATATCAGAGAGCCTGCGTTACAAACTGGGCACATTAAGTTGAAAGGCAGGGGCGGTCTACAGTGGGTATGGAAAGTATTCAGACCCCTTAAAAATTTTCACTCTTTGTTTCATTGCAGCCATTTTCCAAAAGTCAAAAAAGTTCATTTTATTTCTCAGTAATGTACACTCAGCACCCCATCTTGACAGAAAAACCCCCCAGAAATGTAGAAACTTTTGCAAATGTATTAAAAAAGAAAAACTGAAATATCACATGGTCATAAGTATTCAGACCCTTTGCTCAGTATTGAGTAGAAGCACCCTTTTGATCTAATACAGCCATGAGTCGTTTTGGGAAAGATGCAACAAGTTTTTCACATCTGGATTTGGGGATCCTCTGCCATTCCTCCTTGCAGATCCTCTCCAGTTCTGTCAGGTTGGATGGTAAACGTTGGTGGACAGCCATTTTCAGGTCTCTCCAGAGATGCTCAATTGGGTTTAAGTCAGGGCTCTGGCTGGGCCATTCAAGAACAGCCACGGAGTTGTTGTGAAGCCACTCCTTCGTTATTTTAGCGGTGTGCTTAGGGTCATTGTCTTGTTGGAAGGTAAACCTTCGGCCCAGTCTGAGGTCCTGAGCACTCTCTGGAACAGGTTTTCGTCCAGGATATCCCTGTACTTGGCCGCATTCATCTTTCCCTCGATTGCAACCAGTTGTCCTGTCCCTGCAGCTGAAAAACACCCCCACAGCATAATGCTGCCACCACCATGCTTCACTGTTGAGACTGTATTGAGCAGGTGATGAGCAGTGCCTGGTTTTCTCCACACATACCGCTTAGAATTCAATTCAATCTTGGACCAGAGAATCTTATTTCTCATAGTCTGGGAGTCCTTCATGTGTTTTTTGGTAAACTCTATGCGGGCTTTCACTCTGTCATAAACCCCTACTGCATCTCTGGAGCTCAGCCACAGAGATCTTTGGGTTCTTCTTTACCTCTCTCACTAAGGCTCTTCTCCCACGATTGCTCAGTTTGGCTGGACGGCCAGCTCTAGGAAGGGTTCTGGTCGTCGCAAACTTCTTCCATTTAAGGATTATGGAGGCCACTGTGCTCTTAGGAACCTTGAGTGCTGCAGAAATTGTTTTGTAACCTTGGCCAGATCTGTGCCTTGCTACAATTCTGTTTGGGCAGTTTCTTTGACCTCATGATTCTCATTTGCTCTGACATGCACTGTGAGCTGTAAGGTCTTATATAGACAGGTGTGTGCCTTTCCTAATCAAGTCCTTATAACATCAATCACAGGCGTTCCCTTTTAAATGGCTTTGTTTGTCATGTTGTTCTGTCTGTGAGGTCGACTGTAATCATTTTGCACAATGTATCCTGTTATTTTATGTGCTTCATACTTCTGATTCTCATTTCCCACGTGAGAGATTCCAGCGTTGACTCCGTTTCCCCCGAAGTGATCATTAAAATTTCATCAGCTCTTCTAATGCAGCTACATTAAAAAAAAAATGCTTCTAGAGTAGTTAGCTGTGTATGTACAGATCTGTGAAAATTTTCAGCTTTGACACCATCAGAACCAAGATTTCCCTTTGAGCATGAAAGTGTACCGTGCGCAGGGCAGTTAACATTAAGATAATGCATTAGTATCTCTGTAGCCTGCTGTGTGTCGGCCCTCAGCTCTGTGTTTGAGCCTGCTTGGCTATTCAGCACAATTTCTCTCTAGTTTTATTTTTTAAAATCTTTTGGCTGCGGGCTAATGGCTTTGACCTCTCTCTCTCGACTGCACACGAACATATTACCTCTCCTCGTTCCCTTCCACCCTGTCGCCCTCAGGCGGGTCATCCATTCACTGTCGCTCACTCTGTGTGCCATAAAACAAAGCCACACAGCCTCTGTGCTGGACACCACCGGCAGCTACATGACAGATAACACACTCAGCTCTCGTCCCCTTGTCCGAGGCTTTACATTTTTAAAAACGTGTTATTAGATATCATGTATGTGTGCTTGTGTTTGACCTGATTCAGTTTGTGTGCCTTTTTTAACAGTATATATAGAGACATAAAGAGTCCAAGAGAGCGGGAGCTTCTTCGTAAATATACCTCATAACAGGTCATGCGGGAAAGCCAAAACCAGAGTCACAAAGTCATACTGGCGTCTGCACCTTACACCCAACCAGACCAAAATAGTTTGAACCGACACACCGGGAAGTTGGGCCAAAAAGCTGACACAGGGATGAGATTCTTTTTACATTTTACCAAAACATTTTTAATTCTTTTGTTTTAGAATTAGCAGGAATAGTGGACAGAGCTAGGCTGCAAAGTACTTAACCCTCTATAGGGTCTGAAATGATCAAGTGAACTAGTTCTTCACTGCGTTTTGATTCTTCACAGCATTTCCCAGCTGACTCAGAAGAACAATCAGACTGCATCAAACTGCATACTTGCTTTCATTTTTATGCTGTCATGCTGAATAATATAACACATCCCTTGGTGCCCTCATGAAACATGCTTTGCATAGCTTCTGTAAAAGCAAGATGAGGGTCATGATGTCGGAAGCTGAGATGGCATGTAATAATGAATTAGTGCCGGCTTTACACATTCCGCTACTGGTCTTTCTGCTAGTATATGGAGCCATCCTATACCGCTGTGTTCCCTGACATATGCTTCGTTAACCATGTTATTTAGCCAAGAAAGTCACATTTGTCAAGAGCATCACTAACAACATAAAACCTAGCACATATGAGAGGCCGAGTTTCTTAATTACAAGCCAATCACATGCAGCATCAACCAACGAGGAGCTGGGTATTTAATATTAGATGAAACCAGTGATACCCAGGAAAGTAGGTCATGTGGAGCAGAAAGCAACACTGAGTGAGGTAAAACAATAAATTAATAAATAATCACACAACTTGAATAGAAAAGAAAAGCTCAGTACTTTTGACCCTGTTGGGATTCTGTAGGAGTGATGACTTGGCTGATCCGTAAATCTCACTTTGTGAGACAGACTTTAGGTGTAACCACTTATTTATTTAGATTCACCATTAGCTATAGTGTACTCTTAAAGTACTCTCTGCGTGTACTCTTAGTGTACTCTGCAGATTCATTAGGTTCAGATAAGTGGAGCGGTCTGTACAACCTAGCTTGAGAAAACATGCTGTAGAGATTGGCAGGATTGGACGAGAAAGAGCCCATTAGAGAGGCAGGTAGAAATCATTGCAGGGAAATGTGTTTTAGTGAAGCCGTCTGTTGTTCTGCAGTGATGGAGGGATGGGACACAGGATACTTTCACTGGGCACGGAGACGGATGAGAGGAGGTGGAGGAGGAGGAGGTGGGGTAGAAAGCTTTTAGACAGGGGGGTCTTGGAAGCTCCTGCGATGACCTCCGAACAACAGAGCAGCATTATGGGGAGAAACAACGATCCCTCTCTCTCACTTGCTCTCTTTTCTGTCATCTCGTGACAGTCTCTCCTTTCATAAACACCTATCGGGTTCCAGTCTGGAGAGCAGCGCGAACATCAGAACCGGGATGAGAGCATGTTTCTGTGTTTCTCTCAGCGTGTGTCGTTGTGTGTAAACGACACCATCCACTTCCATTTCTGTGCTGGAACTGTGCTGGGCCATCAGGTGGATACTTGATGGCTTGGCCCAATGGTGTCTGGAGGCAAAGTCAGTCAATCAGGACTAAAAGCCTTTATGAAGTGTGTGTGTGTTTGTGTGTTTTGGTTGTAGTGGTCTTGTGTTTACTTGCAAGGCAGGTTTTTCCTCACTACTGTTCCCCTTTTATTGCCTCATTCCTTATAAAATAGAAATGAAGGTTCTAGCCAGAGGTGGGTTAATATTGTAGATTATATTACATGCAAACTAATAAAAACAGTCAAACTTTCTATAGTGTGATTCCTTTGAGAGATTCTGACATGCTTAGTAAATACAGGCCCAGCTCTTTGCTATCCTTTGTTATTTTTAAATCCAATGCCAGCATGCAGCGTTGTCTCTGTGTATTAGTATAGAAGCCATTTACAGCCACTCCACCTGCTCTGGGCTGCACATAGAAACAGTAACGGAGAGACTGAGCATTCAAAATGTCATGACATTTGGTTGAGATCAAAGAGTCTGCTTTGTGGGGACGTTTCGAGTCAGTAAGTGGGGCTGGCAGCGGTGGAGGAGGTTGAATCGAAATTTTGTTTATTGTTTGCGCCGACATCTTTGTTGCTTCGTGCGTCCCGTGGCCTTCACCTGTCAGTCAAACAGTGCGAGTGGGTGCGGGGATGTCTCCTGTGTTCGTTCCAAACAAGCTGGAGGTGTTAAACTCATCACCCTCGAATTGACAGAAGGCATCGGTATGCTTGCAACTCAGTGCTTTGCGGGTCATCCAACATCATCTGAAACCATCTTTCAGAGAGTAGCAGTTAAACTCAGGATCTCAGCAGGATCTCAGCAGTTCCATGTTTGTGGGCACATCTGTTGGTAGCATGCTAACCATTAGTTATCTAGCCAGGAAGTTGAACGTTTCATTTTTTTTTCTCTGTGAATAGTGTCTATAAGCTAACCTTAAGGTTTGAGTATGCTTCAAACCAAGTGCTTGGTTGGCATCTCATACTCCTTTCCCAGGGTGCGAATTATACAGTGACATCCATCCATCCATCCATCCATCCATCCATCGTCAACCGCTTATCCTGCGTACAGGGTCGCGGGGGGGCTGGAGCCAATCCCAGCAGCCAAACTGCCAGAAAGTCAGACCATCAGGACCGCTCAAACACAGACCCACACAATGCTGAACCAGAAGCAAAGACACTATCATAAAATACAGTCTGCATCATCATCTCTAATTCCTAATTCTCATCATTTCAAGTTTTAATTTCAACTTTTTTTAATAAATATCTCCTTTCCTCTTGCTCGTGAATGAAATGTAATCTGCCTTCAATAAAGCAGTAGTCGTACACTGTTGGGGAAGTGGGAATTGTTGAGTCTCTGTAAATAATATTAAACAGAGTACTGTCTAGACCTGCTCTGTATGAAAAGTGCAATGAGATGCCTTTTGTTATAAATTGGCTCTATATAGATAAAACTGAATACATTTGAAATAACAGACCTGGATTGTAACATTTACTTTGCCAGTTAAAACTCATAACAAATATCATGCTTATTGTAAAAACACTCACAAAATATTTAAAATGAAATAATAAACTCTATTGATGTCAACGTGTGTATCTACAATAACTAATAATGAAATGACAGGGTGGGCTATCAGCTAGCTTCCATCCCATAGCTCATTTAAAGTAAAAAGAAATGCTAATTACGAAACTCTGAAGGCAGGAAAGTGTGTTAAAGAAGCTAGATAGCTAACTGACATTAAACTACAGTCTCTCCATCAGCGTGTGATGCACTGAACTGTAGTAATGTGGGCAGACAAGACGTTAAACTAACGTCAGGGATATGAAATAGTATGGTCCATTTTAGGGGTGTCAGAAATCGTATTTGAAGTTTCTTGAATATAAGGCATGAGTACGGGAAATATATTGTAATATTTACAATGACAGGTAAGAGAGACCCCCCAGAACTGTTGTTTTTGCCTCTTTTGGGTGGGGTCCAAGCCTTGATTAGGGGGGAACCATGCCCTTTCCCACACCGGAATTGTAAGGAAGGGTAACTTTTCAAAACCAGTGTGCAGTGATTGGCCGTGTCTGTTTTTCGGTGCAAGACCCTGAATACTTTCTAGTAGAGACGTTATGTGTGTATTGTTTTATCCCACCTTTGAGTGTGGCCTTTCCGAACAAGTATACTACTGTCTTTAGACATGGTCGAATCACACGTAGCATGACCTAGTGTGACACTTGACTTGATGAAAGACTGACCTTAACCTTGAAAAGCATCACTGATTTTGTCTGTGTGTCTGTGCTGTATCCACGACCGGTTCACCGCAATCTATTCCAATCCTCTGAATGGATCAACTCCCCCACCTGACTGGTTCCTGCTATTGCGAGATGAGGGGATGAACAGAGCATTAGAGGGAGGATGATTTTGAGAAAGCAGATGGTCGGTATGTAATTGGGTAAATAAAGAGATAGAAAAGGCTCAGTAGGTAACCTCGGCTGCCCTTTCACCACTCATGCCGTGATCTGTCTTTACCACGGCTGTTCCAAAAGCTCTAAACTCTGCAGGGGTCTCCCAAACCGTAACCCTGGCTGACCAGCAACAGCCCAATTCCTAAGTAAAACATCCAGTCATTAGCTGTCAGCTGCATCCCCCCATTGTACAAACCATCCTCAGCCCCTCCTCTTCCTTGATTTATCAGTCCTGGAGGACACTGAATATGATAATTTTCCAGTCATGCAGTCTTGGATTCTGACAAAGGAAGGATTTGATTTCGGTGCTATCTCCTTTCCAGCCCTCTCAAGCTTTCCATGTTTGAATTTCAATCCAGTTCCGGCCTTTTATCTCCAGGCCTCAGTGTTTCTTAGTCAACTTCCTCTTTTCTCTAGGTCTCTGTCTATCTGCTTCAGTTCAAAAATGAGATTTGGCACAGCAACCGCCACTTGCTGCCAGTTTTCAACCCTAACCCTCACATGACCGTACTTTTTCTCCCAGTGAAATACCTGGACCTGGAGTCTCCCTGCTCATTTTTGGTCTGTTATACGTGTATTGGATTGCTTCCTCTCTCCATCTGCTGTACATTTGGTCCAGATTAGCATTAAGCAGGGTGTTATCCAAGAAATAGGGTGTTGACATCCTGTTTTCTGGTATCGCTCCATATTGAGATGACGCAGCAAAGTGGATGGACCTCGGAGGGGTTTTGCGTAATCGGGCCGCTGAAGCGAGATGGGATGCCTTTGGGAGGCAGAGATCAGCAGACATCAGATGACTGTTGTGCAAGGAGGGAAAAACAACGACTTCATCGCAGAAAGTGTTCACCTTGAGTGACTTAGTCAATGAGCCCATAAATCATGCACTTTTTAAAACAATAAAATCTGCTAACAGACAATTACGCTTGATTACAACACAGTAAAAGACAGGTTAAGGCACTAGTATTGAGTAAATCATAACTAAGCAAGTTGAACGGTATTGGGATTACTCAACAGAATGAATGACTTGTTGAAATGGATTTGGGTTTTGTGAAAAAGTCAGGTGTAGAGGCAAGTTTAAATCCCTCAACCAGCTTGGAAAATCTAGTCGAGAAAAGCAATAGCTCATCTGTAGAAACTGCTGCTGAGCTGCCCTCGAGCACTTAAACTGCCTAACCGCTCTGATGGTTGCTCCTAGTTGTAGAAGTCTTCAAGCAATGGACCCATGGAATACCTTCCCAAACCTGACATGCATTCAGTCAATAACCCAAGGCAAATCTGAATAGGCAGGAGGATAATTTGAGCCAAACAGTTCCCAATAGAAGAGAGAGAGAGAACACCATTACTGACAGCAGCAACTTGGGTCCCAGGTCGGGACCCCTGAAGACCTTATAGTGTGAATTGTTTCACCGTGGCCGTGAAACAGTTCACACTATAACTTCAAAGCAATATCACAGACACATCTATCCTCACCGCGACAACCCCTTCCCCTCACACTGCCTTGTGGGTTCTTACCCACTCAAGATAACATATAACCCCATTCACTCCTAAATGTCAAACCACTGTTAGCAGCCCCATGCTAAACACAGTGGTCATGATACATGAGTGTTTGGGTTTACTGGAAAGTGTGTAAGAAGTTTTGACTTGAGTGTTAAAGGACAATTTCGCCATTGATATAAAAGTTGTTAAGATAAACAACTATGCTCTTGTTTAGTACACAGAATGTATCTTTAATTCCGCCCCCCCCATTTTGCTGTTGATGAATGTTGATCAGTCACAAGTATGTAAATCTTCTTAGTTAAGAGTCAAGTTGATTGGAATGCTTTTCATACCCATGTTACTCTTGCACCTTTCTCTGCACTGAATGCATCAGCAGTGCTCCTTATGCAGCACAAGTGCTCCACCTTGTGGCGAAATGATAAAACACTACCTTTTCTTTGTAGCTGCTGGCACTTGCCAAAATGCTAATAGATTTTTTTATTAAAAAGGTAGGTGTGATGGCAAAGTAATGCCACTATTCCAATACCATTATGATTATTCTACAGAGATTTTAAAGGATAAGACTGGTGTTATTATTTCATTTTAATTTTAAAGAGGCACTCCACTGATTTTACTCTTCTGTGGCTCTGGAGCAGTCTGACATCCCCAGATGATGTTATCAGGGTTATCTGAGCTTGGACTTGGAGAGTCTCACAGAAAACAAATTGGTGGGATGGAGTTTGAAAAATGTGAGCATTTACCTGGCAGGGAACAAAAAGATGTTGTGAAGTTTCATTATGACAAGTGGGGGGACTAAAAGTCAGGATAACCGGGCACTGCTGGATAAATGTTGACCTTTTTTTAACCAGTCTTTTGCATGTCACCAAACCTTTAGAAGTGCAATACCAATTTACTTGTATACCCTTTTAACAATGCCCCTAAAGAGACCAGAACCAGCAAGTGCTACATTATCATAACCTGCTCTTGTTTAATGCTCAACAGGCTGGAGAGAAGCACTACCACCCCACATGTGCCCGCTGTGCCCGCTGTGAGCAGATGTTTGCCGAGGGAGAAGAAATGTACCTGCAAGGTAAACGCAGTTTTTGGGACTCGTCAAATACCTTAAAATTGGTTAGCAATCTTTATGTTTTAGTTTAGCTGTAAACGTCTGGTTCTGTAGCTGTTTCTGCCTGACCGCAAAGGATTCAATCCTAAATGATATGACTTTTCTTCACTCTTTTATTCATGACTCTCTAACCGCATAGCCTGTCCTTAGTCTCTGTTTCCTCTCACTCACCAACTAATCACAGAACATCCGATGCATTATGGATCCCCTTGTTCATTATAAACTGGGTTAGCAGCTTGGTGAATGAATCATGCACTTTGGTGGAGACTTGTGTTAAACACTGAGGGGATAAAAAATGTGGGAAATGTTTAATGACGTGGTGTTTTTTGTAATAACCAGCAGGCACTGGTCTTTTTGACATGTCGATATCAACACTAGTGTTCTCTGGTGCACCTTTTTTTGTTTTGATAGCCAAGCCTACCAAAGAAACATGGTCATGTCATGAGACAGGCTCAGGTTTCTTGCCAGAAATGAAAACACAGTATCCAAGTGGTCCAGCATGTGGAAAGCTAACAGCCTACCAACCTAACAACCGGGCACGGCCATCACATGGAGTCACACTACCACACTAATAGAGAGAGTTATTTACTGCTGCTGGGCCAATAACACAAAGTAGCAGCAGGTGCTTTGCCTTGGGTGCCCCTTTTGCTTCAGCTTTTATTGTGCTGCTACTTGTCACTTTAGAGTGAATTGATTTAGCAGTGGAAAAAGCTTTTTGAAACCATAACTGTGAATGAGTCATGCATGTACTTTGGCGTCTTGATAGTCTCATTTAGAAAAAAGTAGAAAATGATTAATGAAATGTCAGCTGTGTCATGCATACATTGCTGTATCAGTTTCAGTTCACCTTTTTTACATGCATTTTCTTTGCTAATGCCAGACTGTACATTTTGTTTTATAGCCTATAGCAGAAAGAACTGTTGTTTGAGCAGCCATCAACAACTACAAACAACAACGTGTCCACATAATGTGCCAAATAATTTGTTTCCTCATTTGGACAAGACTAAGAGTCTAGAGCCATTTAGCATCCCTTTCTGGCTGTTCTTCAGTAAGCACAGCACCGCTTGGAGCTACATGCTAATGTTAGCATGCTAACATGCTTTCAGTTTATCACCATCTGAATTTTGTGTAGCTAACATTTGCTAATTAGCACTAAACACAAAGTACAACTTAGTACAAATGTTTTATTCTGACCTGATGGTGGCGCCAGATGAAAAGTCAGGGAATCAGCAAGTACCAGAAATGTAATTCATTGTGTGAAGATCATGAATGTCTGAACAAAATTCTACAGTTTCAGTGATATTTCAGTCTGAACCAAATTGGTGGACTGACTGACTAACATCCATTGCTATCCCTAAAGCCACGCGACAATGTTACAGACACATGTGAAATGTTGGAACCAATCTCTGACTCTTCCTGTCTTTGCCTCTGTGTCTTTAGGATCTTCTATCTGGCATCCTCCATGCAGACAAGCAGCCAAGCAGGAGGAGAAGAGCAAGGTGGGTGGAAAAGGCCGTCAAGCCGCAACTAAATACTAGAGAAGCTTGATGCTATCCCCAAATACAACCAAAATAGATCCACATTAGACCATAGAACTCCATTTCTTAAAGCGTTGTTACTTCAAGATTCAAGGTACATTTATTTGTCCTTCTACAACGCAGGGCTGCACAATTAAATTAAATTAGTTCTAGCCCTCTTCACGCTTCACACACAGAACATATATACAAATTAAATTACATGGAATAAAAATATATATATATAAATATATAACAATATATTCAATCAAGTATATTACATAAATTAGTGATTTGTGTGTATAAAAATGGCTCTCATGTGCAGTATGTCAAGGTGTAAAATGCCAGACTGGTTGGTTTAGACTTCAGTACATTCAAAGCTTCCTGTTTTTTTTCATAAATCTGATGACTGTTTTTATTATTTCTGGATTACTTAGAAATTTGTTACCTCTCATTGAGACCCATACAGACTCTTCTCTGTACCTGTCTTCAGGATTTTGCTCTGCATAAAATAATATTAAACCAGTATTGCAAGCAGTTATTAATACTAGTATTTAAAGGGGACCTATTATGATTTTCCTGTGTTCTGTCAGATGTACATAAAATGTTGAAATGTCAGATATTATTCCAGAGACACAGCACATATAATATACCACTCACATGTCACACATCAGCAATAAATGTTTGTAGGTGAATAAGTAAAGCTTGTAAAGCACAATAAATACATTACAAATAGGCAACAAACATTAAAAAAGACTGTGTTCAAATAGACAAATAAATCACCAGTTTGCACACACACATGTACATACACACAGATAAATTCATTCATGTTTTTTGGGCACAAAACACTCTGCTCATAGCGCTTTCTCCATGGTGATAGTAGGTCTGGCTAGGCGAGACTTCTTTGCCAAGGAATACTTAATAGTTTTTGGAGGTTATTCACTAGGCTATGTCTAGCAGAAAGTGTGTTTTTGTAGGATGAGATAGGCAGAGGATGAACTGAGGGGCTGCATTAAGGGCCAGTATAAGATCATTTTCAAACTGTGAATCATGCAAAGCTACTGTAGTGGAGTCCCAGAAACAATCTAGGGCTGGAAATGAGCAAAATTGCTCCCTTTTAAAATATTTAGCAAAAAAGGCTCACACTGAAGAGGAGGAGGGCTTTAAGTGACAGTTGGGGACAAAATACCATTGTTTTACTATTACATAAGCAGCCCTGCAGCTTTCCATCCAGTATCTGCCCTCCTTCCATCTCCCATCCTCATTCCTCATCATAACCCGTCTCCTTCCCAGAAGCAGGTCCGGATACAGCTCAATGACGTCCCTGAGCAACAGGTTGGTGCCCCTGTACATCCTTGCACCCAGCTCCCCTCCAACCCTAACCCCCCCCCCCCCCCCCCCAAAAAAAACAAAACAAACCCCCACTCAACCCTCCACCCTCAACCATCTGCTGCATGGGTTAATCTTTACTGTTAAAGTCTTATTTGCTTCATGTTGAGCAGCAACTGCACACACAGGCCACCTACTGCAAAGACACACATACTGTCCAAATTCTTAGGATTTCTATGTAATTATGGGATGCGGAGCTGGCAGATTTGATTGGTCAGTGACTGATGATGCTGTAACATGCTGATTATCAGTTGGTGCATGTACAGGGATGCTTTAATGAGCCAGCATAGTAGACTGGTTTACATGAATGGTAAAATAATGGATAACAAAGTACCTGCATCTGTATCTGCAGAGAGTAACGCTCACACAACCTGACAGACCGAGAACATAACTGATAATCAGGCAAGACAATAAGATTTAACTGTAATAACTGGTTATAATTAGTGTTTATACAAATATCTCATTTGTCCATTCTCTGTCTTCAGCTTGTGTGCTCTAACAAGGATTGTGATTGGTGCTAATTGCCCACGTCTGGCTAATAGCACCACTGTGTGATAAGTATGCGCTTTATGTACATAGTAACACGTGTGGTAAACAAAATGGAACAACAATGTAATGACATTTAATAAAACAGGTCAATAGTTTATATTTAGGGTGTAGTTTAAAATCACACGGAGCAGGAGTCAGGCTGTGGATAGCCTAGTCGAGGGATTCTGTCTGAAGGGAGTTTAATGTGGTTGCTTAAAGGAGAGAAAAAAGCAGAACCTAATATCTCACACAAAGCATGAGCTTAAATGGAAGAACAATGAATATATATGTAACATCTCTTTCACCACCTGTGTGCGTCTAATATATTTAAACACAAGTGCATGTGTGCGTGCGTGTGTGTGCGTGTGTGTGTGTGCGTGTGTGTGTGTGTGTTTCAGTTGACCCGGACTTCATCGGAGAGCATCACTTCGGTCCCAGCATCCAGCGCCTCGGGCTCTCCCAGCAGAGTCATCTATGTAAGATTGCGCCTCCTCTACCGACCACCAGGGGGCAGCCGCGGCACATAGTTCAGCTTTTTCCCATAGACTTCTCAAAGTTTATACAAATCATCTATAGGAACTGTTTTCTACCTGTTCAAGCTCAGGAGAACGTGAAATACTAGTACGTAATGGTGTCTTCTCTGTACTGCCAGGCCAAACTAGGAGAGGAGACGCTGGACTACAAGGACCTGGCAGCCCTTCCGAAGACCAAGGCCATCTATAACATAGACAGGCCTGACATGCTGTCCTACTCTCCGTACGTCAGCTACCCGTCTGAGGAGAGGCACTACGGAGAGGTAGACCTTTCACTTCTTCTTCCTAACTTAACATCTCTCTGATCCAGGGGTGGAAATGAACCAGGGACATTTACTCAAGTTCTTTACTTAAGTGCTATACTTGTACTAAAAGTATTTCAAATGTATGCTACTTTATACGTCTACGCCTCTACGTTTCACTTTTTACTCCACTACGTTTATTTGGAGGCTAAAGTTACAAGTTATTTATACCTATAACGAGCATCTAAAATATGGTGGTGTGTTTACAGTAATTTAAATGACCAGATAGGATCTAAAAGCAGTAACAGTATTAGTATTAAATTAGCTCCCCCACCACTAGCTACAACAAAACATTTTCATTTTATATTGTGTAGATGATGCATTTTGACAAAAGAACACAGTGGCTAATGTGCCTGTATAATGAGTACTTTTACGTTTGATGCTTTAAGTACATTTTGCTGATAATACTTTTGTACTTCTGAATGCTTTAACTGAAGTATGGAGTCTGAACTTAGTTTTAAAAAGTTGTAGGCTACCTATCTGTACAAGGCTAATAAGCCATTATGTGGCCACTGCATTGGTTCGTATTAGCTAATTTAAATGTTTGTATATATTTAATTTGAAGATGCAGTGAAAACAAGAGTGATTAAAAGCCTGTTTTTTCCAAGCGATTTGATTTGAATAGACCTCTTCTATCTCACACACATGAAACCCTGATTTTAATGGAGCAAACTTCCTTCTGTAGCATCTCCTTCGCCAGTGTTTGTTTTCATTTTTCACCTTGCGCTATCCCTCCATCGTCTTTAACGGTCTTGCTTGCTTCTGTCTCACACACTCACCATTCCTTTGGCGTGCGGTCACAGTCTCATAGCCTGGCCATGTAAACAGAACATTATACTTTGGACCCACTTTATTCAGCTCATCCATCGATCAGGAATGTCCTCACAGTGGACGCCATGACTCACTGACATTGAATGATCGCTCTCATGGTTGGACGGTTAACTCATATAGCCTCACATATGAGTTCGTCCTAATCATTGGCTTTCTCCCCCTCTTCATTTGCAGTCCCCCCAGCTGCTTTCTCCTACTCCTACTGAGGTAATATAATGCACTAAATCTCACACACCCTTCATCACTGCTTTCCTGTGTGTGTGTGTGTGTGTGTTTGTGTGTGCATGTGTGTGAGGGCACAAAGGAGTTGCTGGTTTCAGACCTCTTAATCATCGCCCATGTCTCAGATTTGTTTAGTGATTCAAATACGTCTGGTAGAACATTGCCTCTGCAGGTTGGAGAAGAAATTGACCAACCAGAGCTTTGTAGCAGTTTATTAAGAATGAGGATGTCATTATTTTCATAGCTAGCTAAGCTTTTTTTCTGCGGTGTAGCCAGCTAGGAAACAGCTACGGAAAAGTGGCCCCAAAAATAACAAACGTGGATGAGATGAACGCAGCTGTGTGCAGGTTGCAACTTAAATTGGCATATTTCTAAATGTCACAAAACACTTTAAGCTAGCAGTCTTTAAATGTAGCACTTGCAGCAGTTCAGCATTAGTTTAGTGAAGCTGATGTCCTTGCACGATTCTTGTCATTTTGGGGTTGGATCCACATGGTTGAATGCAGCTATTGTAAGAGGATAAAAGCGCCAACTAAATAAATGAAATGCACTGTAATGCTCCTAGCAACCACTACCACAGCTTCTGCGTCAGATTATCAGGCTAGCCACATTTCCAAATCTCAGATCAGTTAATGCTCTGATTCAATCAAAACAGTATGTGAAACTGAATACACATTAAACATTTTACCATAGTGTAGCCCTGATCAGGTCCACAGGTTATAGGGCTGTTTTGCCTTATTACAAAAATTACTAAAAATACATATATTTAATTTAAATATTTTTAGAGAAATGTTTCATTGCTGTGAGCATCACAAAGGAAATTCCATTCACCTCCATTGTATTGAAGTCAGATGCCAAAAATATCAGAGACAGATATCTAAAAAAAAGAAACTAAACTATCAGTGTGGCTACTACTAGATGTAAGTTGGCTGTGTGAGAAAATATTCAAATTGAAATCAGTTTGAATGTCCTTATTATAGTCTGATTGTGATCATCATTCACATTTTTGTGCCTTCATTTTTGCTTGACCATGACTTCTAAAACTACATTTTTTTAATTTGTTGATCCATGTTCAGGGTTTAATCAGCTTGTTATCTTGACTTTTGCTGTGTATTTTCCTAGATCTTTTGTGTTCCTTGTGCGACATGCTTGCTTCGCCTCCTTAAGAATATATCAGAGATTAAGTCACACCCACAGTCCTGACCGATACTGTGAGGAGCGAGGTAATGTTTGTTTCTCAGTAGAATGCGTTGACTTTTTTTTTTGTTTACTTTATGCGTTTGCGCGTCCAGGGCGACGGGCAGAAGTCACCCCGTCAGCGGAGACCCTCCAGCCCCAGCTCCAACAGCTCCCTGGGGGGTTACGGACGTTACACCCCGTCCCGTTCCCCCCAGAATTACAGCCGACCAGGTATCAGCCTCACACACACACATATGACACACAGCCCATTATCCATATGTTGCTGCTATAATGTGAAAACCTCCAAGTTTGAATTTGTTTTTCTGAATTTTTGAAGAATCACATTATGAATATTTAAGAGTACATGCATACTTTGTCCTGTTTGTATTTATTTAACTTAGTGAATGACAGGGAACAGGATGGTGGGGATAAAATGTTTCCGTATGTATTTAGGTGAAAACATCTGTTACAAACATTGCAAATGATTCATCACTTCCTGTATTTTTAGACGATTTCCTGCTGGTGACCATATCCAAAACCAGAAATTAAATTACATGCTCCTCTACGGTCTGATTAAATTCTGCAACCTTGAAATTATACTGTCAGAACCCATTGGACGATCTGAATACTGCATGGCTGTCAAGCTAAGTAAATGTCTCCTATACTTCCTGATCAACTTTCCCCCTGACAGCACCAATCTTTCCTTCCAAAAACATGGATACAATAAGAACATATCTGTCAAATATTATAGTGCAAACAGTGATGAATGCAGCTTGTTTTTATCCATTATGTCATGCTGAGTTTTGGTAAATAAATGAATCTGTACTATTTTAGGCGCTGTAAGAGCAATCTGCAATTGATCTTTGCAGAAATTATTGGTTGGGATAACGCCAAATCATCACAAAATCTTCTGACAAAGGACATAAAGCTATTTATACATTGACTTCTGTAGGGATAGCACAAAAAATGATTCAGTTTTTGTTAAGAAATCTGTCACTTCTCCCACAAAATGTCTGTTTGGACACCATGTCCTGGAAACCTCTGGAGCTCTCCTAAATATGCATAGATAGGACCACAGATGTATTCCCCTGGATATGTACTATTCCCTAGTTTTCCATGCAAAACCGTAAAAAGATATATATAAAGCCACATACCTTCACAATAGTGTCCATTGACTCAACATGTTTCCTGTAATCTGATTGGACATTCAGGGCCAGAGGTATACCTTGGCGGTAGACACAGCAGCCAAGGCCGTGACTCCAGTTCTCTCCTTTTGCCTCCAACCCTCATGGGTGCCATTAAGTACCCCTCCACCTGGGCCAGGGACTCATCTTCCCTCCCTGTGTACGATTCTGGTGGGGCTGAAGGGTGCGGTGGTGGTGTTAGTGGCAAGTACTCACCCTCACCAGCAGGTGGCAGTGCAGGCTTGTCTTTTCACCTAAACCCCACCACCCTTGCCATGCTGCAGCAGCATAACTACGTCCCTTACTTCAGAGGTATCAAAGCACGCTAAGCCGAGACCGAGGGCTGGTCTAATACAGACAATGCACGGCTTTCTGGAGTCATTGCTGCTGACAAACCTTAGACAGAAACAAAAACTGTCTTTTGAAGAATTTCTAAAATCAAATATTTGAAAGGGGACTCAAAGCGGGGGTGTTCTCCTAGCAGAACAGAAGCATGCACCCCTTGGATTTATGATCAAAAACATGAAACTCTTGAAAACCTGTAGCTAGACAGATTTCCTCACAGCAGCAATGTGCCGGTCCACTCTGTATTTGACGGAAGGTCCTGAAGAATGGTGTGCTGTGATACGACCACAGTTGACTTCACTTGGCATGGGCTGTGGTTATGCACCAAATTAACCATGTGTTGCATACTCACTCAAACTCACTCCGGGTCTTTGGGTCTCTCGATATTCCATAGATCCATGAGTCATAATGGGGTAATAAAATGTTCTGGTGTGCATTGCATTGAGTCTGAAACCACAGTTTGATCACTCATGCAGATTTCATTTAGTTTATTCTTGAACCAAAGCCATGAAACTGCTAATAACGCTGATAACGCACGTCACTGAAATCAACATCACAAACCGGTACTGTCACAGTCCCCTGCAGAAAGGCTTATCCAACCACCTCCCTTTGCTTCATCTTCTCCCCATCCCCTGATTTCCCTCACCCCTCAGGGTTCACACAGGACCCCCTACCTGACCCTAAACCTAGGACATCCCTGCATCTCAGTTTACCTCCTCCTAACGGTAAAAAAACCCCACAAGTAGTCTTTCTCTTCTCTGTGTCTGCCTCCCCTAGTGGAATGGTTAGCAGGTTTTGTGATGTTGTTGTCTGGTATCGTGGTGTTGTCGAGTTTCATGGGGTGCATCAAGGTACATTCGTAGGACCACTCGGTTTTCTCATTTCTGCTTGCCCTGTTCACTTGTGTCTGTGGACGTGGTTGTTGTTGTGCATGGTTGATGTAGACCTGAGTGTAACCCTGATACAATTGGGGTTTATCTTTTAGAGGAAGGTTATGGGTGATTTAATTTTTGTGCTTGTCTGTTCAGGTTGTTGTTATTTTTTTTGCCTGCCTTTGACCTTTAATGTACTCTATATTTTTTTTGTCTGAATGATCCCTTGTTCATTGTCATGTGTCAGACGTTATTCCTTTGGTGTTAACCCGCTTTTGTCCTTCATGTGAATCAGGGAGAGACTGCAGGCTTTGTCTTTTGATGACTATTAAAAAGACTAATTGAGGTTTACAGGCAGCCTTGACCAAGGCACTGACAAACACCACTGCAGCTGCAAACCAAAGAGATAAGATATAGGGATTAGTCAGCATGTTTCAATGGAGACTTGGCCCCACCATTACTGCAACTGTATATATGTATGTGGTATGCTAGTCATTTGCACGTTATCTTAAAAGCACAGTGCCCCTTTAGTTTTAAGCTTTGGTTGATGAACAACCGGCGGACTCTGATCAGAGGACTTTAGAGACCTGCTGGTGATATAGGGCTGCAGTAGATCTCTAATGTAGACAACTGTCTGATCCTGCAGAGCTCTGTAAGTGATCACCTCAAGGACCTTGAATTGGATTCTGAATTTGATGGGGACCCAGGGACGACCGATACAGATTGGTGTCACATGGGACCTTTAGGAGGACTTGGTTGAAGGCTTAGTAGCAGCATTTTGGACCACTTGTAGACGATCCAGGGATGTTTTGCTCTGAGGCAAGTGAAGAGGGAGTTACAATAATCAAGACAAGGCTAGATAAAAGTGTGAGCTGTTGAATAGGATTGAATGAAAACAGGAACAAAACAGACACTTGACATGTTGATCCAGAGTCAGAGCTCGGTCCATAGTGACGCCTGGATTTTGTATGGAAATTTAACAGAAGAGGTAAGAGACCTTAGGCCTAGGCCATCCATTATCTTGGGGGTGGACCCTGGATGCACTTACTTTCAATTTTACCTCCAAATAAATTAAATTAAAGCTAATCTCGTCAATTACTTTGGTGAATACAATGTTATTCTAGATTATGAAACCAATAGAAAAAAAACACTCAAGATGTAAGAAACTGTAGTTTTACTTTAATCCTTAAAAGTGTGTTTGGGGTTATATTACAATTACAGTACATGAGCATATTAAGTTAAAGTTATCACTTGTTTAAAAATAGTTAGAAAAGGTTCAAATGAGGACATACAAATTAATTTGAATGCAGCCCACTTAATTTTAAACTAGGTTGTAAAATTGGCATTGTTCCATTTATTCGCGGTGCCTGCCTCAATCAGAATCAGAATCAGTATTATTTGTAATAATACAGTAATACAGTAATAAAATCGAACCCTGGCTACAGTATAGAGAACACATATATACACACTATAAACAAAAACAATATAGACATATTGACAAATAGTGCAGTGAGCAGGAGTAAATTATTATTGTCATTATTATGATTATTGTTATTATGTACATGTCTGAGGTGGATGTGATATACATGTACACATGGAGCATAGTGCAAAGGATGCTGGAATAAATAAGTATTATGTGCAGATGTTATGTACTTGAGGGAGGTGGATTTGGTGTACAGTATATACAATATAAAAATATAACAATATAACAGTATGAACAGCTCTGAAATAGAGAATATATAGTAAGTGGTAACCAGTAAACAGGTGGCTGATTAGACAGTGATAGAGGTTGCTTTAAGTGATCGCTGCCTCACTAAAGTGACAAGCTAACGTTCACTATAGACTATAGTATTTTACAAAGTCAGCAAACAGCCTTACCTTCAAACACAATTTTCCCATCTGTGGCGTCCTATTTAAAATTTTCCCACATATTACTTGTCAATTCAATCTCGCGATTATCCGTTCTGCACTGCTCACTAGTTTTCTCCATTTTGCGTTATTTTTAAGATAGCTTAGTTTCAAACGCCCCTGCTAAACAGGTTTGCACAAGGCAGGACCTGTTGCACTCATGCATTGTAACCTTTAGATTTAAACAGATTATTGCAAATCTTTTTTTTTTTTTTTACAGTGTTCGAAGTTCAAATTTAATAAAAAGTCCCTACTGAGTTCCTACAGCACCAAGAAGTTGCCATATAGTTTGAGTTTCACATATAAAGGACCTTTGCCTCAAAAAGGACATTAGGTAAGAAAACATTTTTCCAACATATGCTTGTTTGGATCATGGCTGATTAAAAGGAGGAGGTCGGGAAGGAAGCAGTGTGGGCTTCCACTCAAAACATTTGCCCAGAAAATCACGAACATGCGGTCCAGGGGTTTGGGTGCTTTTTCCATGACAGGGTAGAGAGGCAGAGAGAGGAGTTCTCTGATGTGGACGATGAAGGAGAGGAGGGGGGACCGAGGAATGAAATAACCCGAGCGGGCTGAGCTGTAATTTAGGGTCTGGTTGCCAGTCGCAGTGGCTTCTAACACACTGCACCGCTGGCCATGTTCAGGCCCTAGTTGTTCTTAACACGCCGTGAAAGAGGGCTATTTGTTTTCGTGCAACAGGCTCATGCTTTAATGAGCTATCAGGTTTCCTCATAGATGTTACTGTGGTAGTAAGACTATAGCAACACTGGCCGTTGTCTAATGGAAATTGAGGGAGAGTTGATGAAAAGACCTTTCAAAGCTGAATAATGCATGCCCTGTCCCTGATTCCTTATTAATGACCTCAAAACCATCATTTATATCTTGTTATTGTTTTTTGATTAACCACCTTGTGTCGAATGTGTAATCCGTTCACATGAGTTATAACGCATCTACTCCCTAAACTCCTCAAGCCTCCAGCACCTCCTACCTTAGCTCCAGATGTTTGTATGGAGGATTTGCCCTTCATCTAGATCTGCACTAACAGTACTCTGGTGTGTACGTGTATCTTTATGGGCATGTGTGTGTGATTGTGTGAATGTGTAGGAGATCACTCAGGCCAGCACTAACAGCACTGCTGTATGTCTGTGTGTGTGTGTGTGTGTGTGTGTGTGTCAGTGATCTCATCCACTTGCATCCAGATCTCTGCTGGTTCCTCTCTGTCTGAGGGGAGAAGAGTGTGTGTTCAATCAGCCAACACTTACTCTCGTGCACACTCTCAATCTCTCTCTGTTTCTTCCTCAAAGCTCTGGATGTAGAGTGTTATTGCTATGTATTACTTTTGCCCTTAAGGGTGTCAGTGACTCCATCACCCAGCCTGCCTGTGACGTAACACAATAAGGGCGGACCATGGTTGTGATCATAGAGACACACCACACACGTGCATGCTGTCAGCAAAAATGAATGTATGTATGAATGCCGTGCTCTCACACAACAAAACACACTTAAAGCCCATATGGGACGAATCTAATATAGCCCATAGGATAAGAAGTCACTTGCCATTATCTTTTTCTGATATGTTGTGGATTTATAGTGTAAACTGTTAAGTGGTGAGAACAAAGTCTCCGGGTTCATCCGTCCCCTCTAGGTAAATTATTGCTTTGGTGCCAGTGCTACCACTAACAAGCTCAGTGCCAATGCATTAGCATTTAGCCCTGAAGCTAAGTGTTGAAACTACACAGTCTCACTCCCGACTCGTCACATATTCATGCTTGGGCAAGGCCCTTTTGCGGTCAAGTTAGGGACGCTTAGCAACAACAAAAATGCAACGTACGGTGACTCTACAAAATAAAACGTTGCCATTTTGAAAAGTTATTTAAATTGTGAAACGTTGCAATTTGGTCGGGTTTAGGCAAAATTTTCTTGGTTAGGTTAGGAAAAGATCATGGTTTGGGTTTAAATAACTACGTAGGTCAGTTTACGCGTAAGTTAACTTACGTCACTTGCATAGCTTACGCTCTTTACGTAACTTGGCTAACTTAAATAAAAATGTTTAATATTGACTTTTTGTCTCACACGGGACACGAACACCAGTCTTCTGGTTCAAAGTCAGGGTTCTGGCCCTCCACCCCCCCCAACCACCTCCTAACTCAGTCGTTTCTGTTAAATATCATATACCTACCTTTACCGTCAAAAACTGACGCTCCAGGGCTTCCCCCCACTGCGTTGAACTATGACGCTATAGTGCGTTACAAACTGACGCTGACGCCGTCCATATGTGACGAGTCGGGGAGTGAGAACTGAGAGCTGAGAGCTGTTTTACAATTCAAACAATACCTTCCAGCTCCTCTTCAACAGCTGTTTCCAAACATTTCTGGGGATTTCCAGACCCAGCAGTCCTATAGTCTGCCATAGGTGTGAAAATGGGCTAGGTTTTGAGAAATGCAAGTTCTGAATGAGTCACTTCAGCGCCTTCAAACTTTGAATATCCTTTGGTAGCTTTTTGCTGGTGGAACAACCGTAGCAGAAACATGTGGTCCAAGGTGGATTGCTCAGTCCAGGTGAAGGGTAGTCGTTGCCCCAAGTGAAGGAGCGAAGGTTTATCATGGGTTCTCATTCACAAGTGATTATGACATTGACTGCAAGTTAGAAGAAGAAGTTAGAATTGGCAGAAGTAATTCAGACTGTTGTTGTGAATAAGAGTTTTTCTATGAAGCAAAGCTATCGATTTACTGGCCAGTCTTCATCCCAAGTCTCACCTACAGCCATAAGCTTTGGGCAAAACTCTATACTGCAATAAAACTGGGGATAAAATTGTCAAGGAAATTAGTGAGGAAGAGGGGTCTCAAGCTATGTGACAGTACTTAGATTTTAAAGTGCTGCTGCTTGGCCACGTGAGCTGGTTCAGGCAGCTAGCATACCTTCCTTACAAGGTGTTCCAGATGTGACAAGTTGGCAGGAGACCATGGATACTCTTACATCACTGAGCTCACCTTAGTGCTTGGGGATCTACAGGAAGATCTGCAGGGTGATACTGGGAAAAAGGAGATTTGGGCTAAGGGACAACACTAACTGTGCTAAAGTGGTAGCCTTCAAATGTCTGCAGAATGATTTTTGCGTCTCATCACTCAACCGGTCAGCAGAATGGCAGCATTCTTCAGAAACTAAAAAATCTGTGAATTTGGTCAAGACATTTGTTCAGTAAAATAAATGGCTGGGTTATCAAGTCACCTGCGCCACTATAATAATCACTGCTTCATATTTGAGCTTTATCAATATGCTTACCATAACGCTGCTTTTTTGCCCCCCGATGCCCTTTGTTTTCTCCCAAACCCTTTCCCTTTTGCCTTTCTTATCCAATGCCCACCCAACTCCATCCCCAACTGGAGGTAGTGAAAGTGGTCGGAGTACCCCCAGCTTATCCACCTATTCTGACGGCAAATCCCCCTCCTCTACTTCTACATACATGGCTGCTCCTCGGCATTTCCACATACCAGGTAGGCAACAGCCACAACGATTGGCTCGCAACTCAACTTTGAATTTCTCCTACATCTTTGCACATTCTACACAGTGACACTGAGGTGAATCACAGGGTAAGCTATGAGATCATAACAAGTTACAAACACCAAACAAGTGTTCTAAAAAGAGTTGGTACCAACTGTTACATTTAATATTAGAGTCTCTTGTAGAAAGGTTTGTGTCATTAAATAAAATGATTCTACGGTTAACGCCAAGCTGAAAAGCATTGTTTCACTGACCTCCTGTGGTTGAAAGTTTTAAGTCTGTTGCATCTCTACCCTACCCAAAAGTTTAAAAGTTAAAATTATTAAGTTAAAACTTCAACCAACGGAGGTAAGAAAACACAAGATTTGAATTTGGTGTTCAGTTACTGATTCATGTAAACAACAAGAAAACTCTCTTTTAACCAGATTAGTCTTGTTTTTTCCATTTCGTTGGACTTCTCTCTCTTTCCAAGTACATGCATGATAAGTGTCGTGAAGCTATCAGCATGTGTGGGATCTGGGCCCTCATGCAAGAACTTTTTAGTTTTCCGATTTAAACTCTCACTGCTTTTGTGAATTTTTGTCTCGTACAATCGCTCCATATCTGATTCAGCAAACCATCTCAACTAAAAAACATAAATACGTAATCGCATCTAATGCCTTCTTTCAACCTGATTAATTCCACTTGTATATGAGTCAGCAGATGAAAACATAACAAATGTAGCTAGATCAGACCGGGACAAACGACAAAAAAATGTTACATTACATTAACATTGCAGAGCCATGACGGAAATAAAGAAGAAATGGATTTATCTGATGTCAAGTAGTTTAACTATTTACGGCATTGAAAACAGCTGTTGGTCTGTGCATTTTATGACAGACCAGAATCATCGGTGACCTCGTACAATAACTACATTACTCCATCATGCGGTCACACACTTATGGGATTAGTTGTTTTTTAACCAGTTTACCTTCTCATATAGTACCACTGGTTTATTGGGAGAAGATGAACCAGTTTTTAACCTCTTTTATCCAGCAGGGGAATTGTATCTTCAAAAAATTCCTAGGCTCCGACAGATGTCTTCATCTGCCCAGAAAGATCAAATGTTTGCCATTTCCACAGACCTATCATATGTAGATTCTCAAATAGTGACTGGGGCCTTTAATTACCTCAACTGCAGAGGGCCTTTATTTCTAATTCCCTCTGTTTGTAGTGTAAGTATATTTTAGTATGAAGCCGACTTGTTATCTGAACTGCTCCTGTTACATTTTTCTTACTGCAATATGCTATTAATACAAACAATAGCACTTACTGTATCCGATTCAAATAAAAAGCCTTGTGGCGAATTCTTTCTATGCCCAACACACCCAAACCTGCACAACAAGTTATGGCATTCACCACTCTGCTTGCTCGGAGGTCTATTCTAGTCTGTTCACATTCTATTCACACATCAGAGCACATGAATCACATTCATGCAATTTAAGCTCTGAATTCTGTATGCAAATGTCTTCCCTGCAACAAGTGTGGAAGAACGTACTGCTGTGAAGTTACTTGGATATTAGTTTCAAGTTGGACGACAGATGTCTGTTGAATATCCAACTGAAAACTAGCTTTACTGCGGTGCTAAGTGTTACTAAGTATTACCATAAAGTGAGGAATTTGCGACACAGCAAAATAAACGTTTTTCGATATTGTCATATGGCACAGCCCTACTGCAGTGCATAAGGTTCTCCCAGAGAGGTTCCCTGGACATACATTACATAGAACATATTGTCACCCAGGCTATTAATGAAGAAATCAACACTTAGTCGAACACCCCCACTCCCTATTCTATTTTATTTTATCTGAATTCTTTTTATTATTTTGTTTTTTTATTTTCCCTCTCCTCTGTCCTGGTATGTGTGTGTGTGAATGAGACTCCTGTCTAGGAAGGTGAGGGAGAGGGACCACGAAGTGCTGTGGGTGGGAGCGGGCTGGAGTGGGGTTTGTAATACATAACCACAGAACACCGTTAGCAATACTGCCATTTGTTTAGATTATTCATTTCTGTTCAAAAACCAATAGAGATTAAAATGAAGTGGCTTCAGTGGACAGAATCCCTTATAGAATCCTATAGGAGCTGCGCAAGTCTATTTGAGAAAATATGGCACGTTCCTGGGAAGAAGAAGCAGAGTAAACATCTTATCATGCCAGGCACATAGTGAACATCTGTGTGGTCACAAAAATACTGTGCAACATGCCACTGGATAACATTTGCATAGGTGACCGAAGCAAAATCTGGCTTTCTGTACATGACTTGTACAAGAGGTCTGGACTACTGTGAATTTGTTCGTACCCTAAGCGAAAATTCTACGAAAAAGTACGAGGAAATTTACAAATGGGTTGTCATGAATCACTGATTTGTGAAAGACTGGATCTGATGGATTGAGTGGTTCTTGCATGAGGCCCAATGTCTGTACTTTATAGCGTAACAGCTGACTTATTGCCTTTGGCTTATGGATTGGAGTCTGTATATCTCTAAGACTCTTGTATTCTCAGTGTCCCTTCTGTTAGCAAATTTCAAAGCAGTTTATTTTTGACACAGCAGTGATCTGACATGAGATTGCATCACTTAGAATTACATTTACTCTACATATGGGCAGGAGTTGACATTAAACAGTGTGTCATCCATTACTTTCAGTCTCCCACAGAGGCAAATCAGCCTAATCCAACATATTGTTCCCATTGACAATTACACTGTCAGTCATGCAGAGGGGAAAATACCCTCCCATGTTGGAAGCAGGTTAAGTGGAAAAAACTGCCAACGATTATCCACTTAATGGCTTTCATAGTCATCATCCTTATTGCTTTAATATGGATATTGTTTCAGATGCTGGCAGGCACTGAAACAAGCCAGGGAAATAACCCAGATGGGTTGTTGTATTGTGAGTCATGTTTCTGCTGTGGTTTAATGTGTGACAGTTGTTACTAAGTATCTCTGTCAGAGGCCTGTCTGGGTCCACTGACACTAAAATGGATTAGCTCAGCTTTAGGGAAAAACACTCTGTCCCCATTATCCTCCAGAGGCACTTCATCGAGCAGTTAACTTTCTTTTTTCTCTATTGTTGTGATGTTTATATTATTAACGGAGGTGCCCTTTTTGATTTAATTTGAAACTCGCTAAAGACCGCTAATACAAGTAGACTGTTGGATGCCTGGGGACCATGTGCGGTTTCTGATATTATTCTTTGAGTGTCACTGAATTGTTCTGCATCATATAACCTCCCCTTCAACAAATACCAATAAATTGACATATTCTGAATATGTTGCATGAATAATATTAAAAGTGCTGATGTTTCTGATGTGCCATAATAAAAATGACAAATGTCTTGTGTTGAATCAAGCAATACTGCAACCCCCCCCTTTTGCTTCTTCAAAATATCTCATCCCTCAATAACTGCTAACTCATGCTTCTTTTTCTCCATTCTCTCCCTTTCTTTCTCTCCCTCCCATGTTGGCTTCTTCCATTTTCTTTCCTCTGCGCCTGTTCCCATCTTCAGAGACTATGGTCAAAGATAATATCTATAGAAAACCCCCCATCTACAAACAGCATGGTACAGTCTACTTTAGCCCTTCTTTCTCTGGTCTGGTCTCTGCACGATGTGTTGCATGTCGCCTGTCAGTCATCTCCTCATCCGTTTATCCCAGTTCTCCACCTTCCCCTAAGGCCTGCACTCGTAGACTTCGGAGATTTAGATGCAAAGGGCTGGTGTAAGGGTACAGCGCCCATTCTGTGTTATAAAATCAAGTGCAGAACCTATCATTCTTCAACATTTGGATGGCGGGCAATGTTGTGACAAAATGAACCAAAAAGAACGCTGAATTTTGCAACCCAAAGGATTTGATGAAAGAAAGCAGACAACTGGCTGCTGATGACCTACATTCCATGAATGTTCTTCTCACACTCCCGGTTTGAGTAATACATCTCTGAGATGGAGTGATTACCAGACAAAAAAATACTACACCATCAGTCCAATATCCTTAAGTATTACATCCATATCGAACAATTGTGTAGCGCAGGATTTTCATCCAGTGCCAGTGCAGAAAGTAGTAGGCCTTTTATGTAGAGAACTAGAACGTAAGGGAGGTGGTGTGGAGGTCAGCTAAGTGGTTGGCCAAGTAGCGCAGCAGGCTTTCATGATCAACATTTAATGTTCTTTTTTTTTTCCCCTAAGATTTTTTGGGGGGCATTTTTATTGGATAGGACGGTGGCAGACAGGAAGCAGCGAGAGAGAGGGGTATGACATGCAGTCCCTGGCCGGACCGGGCAGCCACAGAGATGCCACAATTTTCTCTTTTTCAAAACTCTAACTATGATCTCAGCTAGTGTTTTAGTTCCCTAAAGGCATCAGCTTCAAACAGAGTGCTGAAGCTGAATGTTAAACACGATTGAAAGGTTCAACCTCTAGAGGGCAGTGCTGAGGCAGTTTTCGGCAATACCTGATAAAATCTGTTTGACATTAACTAGAAGGAAGAGATTGATTTAAATCTCAGAAACAAAGTCTGTATAATTAGGTTTCATCTATAATAAACATTGCCCCAAATTCCAATATCTGATTTGACATTTCAACAAGGCAACATATTGATTATTCATTTTAAAAATGGGACTGATTGCTGGAATTGGGGCCCTTGGGTATTTATTTGCTCACCCCGTCCATGCATGTCTGCACTCATCTCACCAGCTCATTTGTTGGTTTTAGTGGTGGTGCTGTGACTGTGTGTCCACTGTGCGTGGTTGGGTACATGATTCACTTTGTTTAGTGGCATTAGTGTTGTACTGATCACTGTTTCAATCACTGTCTCTCCCCTCACCATTGTTTGTGTGTCTACTTTACGGTGTACATTTTTCACTACAGTTGCTTGTAAGCTATATGTGCACGATGGGGTCACTCAAAAACACATTGACAGGAATCCAAGGAACGTTTGTCACCTCTATCACACAAGAAAGTCTTCATTTTTATCAAATATGACATGTAAATCAGCTGCATATGGGATAGTACTGCAGATTTATCATATTTAAGGTCTGTCAGCACCTTGATTGTACTCATTCAAGCAGACGTAAGTTCACAGACAAGGCCTGCCAAAAATCTTTATCTAATTTGTTCCAAGCAAACACTGCTGCTAATGGTTTAACTTTGGAGCTGTGTAATGTGGCATTACGTTTGAATGGACTGCACTTACTTTTGAGGGAATTTGTCCCATTGGTCATGTTATATGATACATGATAGGAAGGCTGTCACCAAAGTTATCTAAATACCTCTGTCCAGTATACATGCTAATAGTTTAGCATGCAGTATGTTACATGAGCAAAGAGAACAAAGACAGTTAGTAATTTGTGCATACAAGTTGAATTGGATTATTCATTCAGGCATGCAACTTCCCACAACATAATGTTAAACAGTCCACATACTGTGTGTTGAAGGGATGGCAAATATAACTCATTATGCAAACAGGCAGTTTGAAGTATATCCATGTAAACTCCTGCAAAACTGCATTAAATCCAAGCTGTGGTTTAGATTCATTTCCTTGCGTGACAACCTGAAAACACAGTTTAATTTGCACTGTATTAGCCGACACAGCTAGCCAGTAATGCTGAAACAATGTCCAATGTAGCTTTACAACTGTATAAAAAAGATGTTGAAGGGGAAATGGCAACTGTAGTTATTATTATTTTAATTAAAAATTAGAGCGAGAACATACACTATCAATATGAAGGGATGAATTCATTGTTTGTACACTAAACATGGCTTCCAGCCTCCTAGCTTCTTGCTAACTGACCTGGGGTGCGTTTCCCAAAAGGATCGTAGCTAACTACGTCAGCAACTTCCTTGGTTGGTAACTTACATGGTACGAACAATCGTTAAGCGATGCAGGTGTTCCCTAAAACCGTAGTTCCGACAAATGTGCGCACCAACTGTCGTTAAGTTGCATAGTTCAAACCACAGCTCCTGATGTGTGGTTAGAAACTTAGTTCACGGTGACTACGTCACAGATGGTGGATGAAATGTGTTTTAAGCAGAGAATGTTAGATAATCCTGCTGTACAAACATATTTAAGGTGAAGATATTTTTAAATGTAGTTGTAAAAGTTCTTTTATATTTGTATTTGTCGGGTCATGTGTAGGGCTGCATTGTTTCAGTACTAAGTAGCCTATCTGTAGAGTAGACCATCTACAAACTACAGGTGTTTTTCTCAAAGATTACCCATCTGATCACAATAACTTGATTTAATATTAGTCACCAGTACAAAGGTTAAAGGACAAAACGGAGAATGTAAAGACAAGACTTTTATTATTACCTGTGTGTATACATTTCCGGGCCTTTGAGGAAGAAGGTTGTTCTCTAGTCTTCATTACAAACAGAAATATAAAAAGGGACAGTATACAATCCATGAAAGTAATGTAATGAATAAATCCCTGAGAGTTTTCGTTAACAAAGATAAATCACAGGATTTGAACCCGCGTCTGTCTCAATAGAGAACAATCACAAGCTCAACCATTTATCGCACTGAGCTATGCTCAAGACTTTGGTGTTGTTTAAGGCCACAAGATTCATAATAGTGTTAAAGTGTTGGAACGAAGATACTATGTATGATGATATATGTTATTTATATTGTTGATTTCATTAATACTGTTGTTGATTTTCTTTTTATTGCCGGCACGACTATGATATGAAAAGCCTATATAATAAATTTCGGTCACAACTGACATATTTAGGCAGAATATGACAACATTTTGTGAGTTTCATGCTGTGAAAGTCGTAGTTTGAACTACGTTGGTTCAAACTAAGTTAGTTCAAACCACGGTGGTACCAACAAAGTACAACAGTTTCAGGAAACAGTCGTACTTCAGGTGTTTGTTAGTTTAACGATGCATCGTACCAAGATAGTTCTATGCTTCCTTCCGTGGTTGTACGGGAAACGCACCCCAGAGTAGCTACAACAACCTGATTGATTGGTCATTAAAATCAATCGTGGGGTGTTGATTTTGGACAAAAGAGATCAATGGATATTCTTTGTATTTTGCACATTTAAAGAGGGTCGTGTTCCGTTGACGTCCCTTACAGACAAAACAAATTAAGTTATTAGTGCACAGAATTTATAGACTTTAATAATTGCATTATTATTATATAGCATAATTTGGAGAGCTAAAGGACATGAAATGACAAGGCAAAAAGTCAAGGCTTATTGTATTATTAGAGGCTGCCATGCTGGTTGCACCCCACAGTATCAGACAGAACAAACAGAAAACTGAGAATTTGACTATATAATTTTACATTTTTACATTTAGAGACACATCACCCTTAAGCTGAGGATACACAGAGCAACTTTTAGAGCAATGGTGCTGGGCAATGTTGCTGTCAATGGTAATGAGTAAAGATTACTACTACTACTAAAGATACAGACTTATCCTCTGGTGATCATGATTATTCAGAGCATATTTAATGTGTCATGGGTCAAAAGGTTTGTCAAAGAGAAGCCATGTGTTCAGATCATTTACAGTCACCCTCACGGCACCATGGATTTCCTTACCAAATGTTGTGTAGCTGTTCAGGGATCTCGCTCCGGTGACCGATGAGACTCCCAAAAAGTCAGTGCAGCCACGCAAGTACAACGTTGATACAAATGTTAGTGGTTGCCATCCATCCTGTTTTACTGTGCAGTTACACAGTGCACGAGAAGCTCATTGTAGAGGCCATCTGCAGCTGATGATTTCATGGTCCAGGGGAAATTTACTGTAGAGTTAATAGTGCAGTACGGTGGAGCTGAGAGGCACATGACCCAGCACATTAACTGTGATATCCTGTAACATCTGACTGTTTTACAGCTTCTAGAACATCCTGGCAGGATGGGGAGGATAGTAAGGTGGGTCTGTGTGTATATGTCTGTCCATATCTGTCTCTTTTCAAGTCATTTTCTTAAACTTTACTGTACATCCATTTACTAACTGACTAACTCATACTTTGCCATCATCCATTGCATCCTTCCATCTTTCTTGTCTCTCTCTCTGTCGCTCTCTCACTCTCTGTGCAGAGGACCAGTTGGATGATGTTAAAGAGTGAAATAGATGGACAGATGGGTCCAGAAGACCTGGATCCCCGCAAGTCTACCTGCAGTCTGCCCACTGACACCTCCCAGCCTAGTGAGTAGCCAACCACCTGGTGTAGGTGACATGAACACAACAGTATTTAAAGCATAAAATAAGCAAGAAATGTTTTATCTCTCTGCAGATTTCCCCTACAGTAAATCTGCATCCTTACCTGGATACGGACGGAACGGCATCCACAAGGTGAGCTGCAATGACTGTGAGCGAGCGTAGAAGTATTAGGACCATAGACTGTATGAAGAAGTGGACATAGTCACCGTGACGTCACCTGTTGGTTTGAGGACTTCCGTTTTGAAGCCTTGAGTTTGGCAGTTTGCCGCTATTGTACATTTTTTGCAACCAGGCACCGGGCGTGACCATATTTGGGCGAGACGGTGGCGTTAGCAAGCTTGGTTAGCTAGGTGCAACAGGGATGCTCATTTTTGCTAGCAAAAAACAGGCTTAAAACAAAACATACGTCCTGGAAAAATGAACAGCCAACTCCTGATAAGCTTGTTCAATGGCGCTGGTTAAATTTACACAGTGTTGTGGATACGAGTCACTCTAGGCTGATTGACAGGACTGGTAGTGACTTGTCAATGACAAGGTAGCCACGCCCTAAAGCATACCCATCTTTATCATCTATTTTCCTCTAAATGGGACCATAATTTACTAAATGAACATCCTGCTGTGTTGAAGAAGACTTGAAACTAGCGACTGAGACCATAAACTCATTATGAAAGTGTTTACTGGGGGAATCAGCTGAGAAGTAGGGTCATTTTAGCATTATTTCTAATGGAACTAAACTTCTTTTTGCAACCAGAGGCGTTGCCCCCTGCAGGCCATTAGAAAGACTCCAGGTTTAAGTTACTTCCGCATTGGGTTTAACCATCAAAACAATCCATAGTGCTTCCTGTAACTTAGTTCTTTGTCAAGTCATTATTTTTTTATGTCAGGAAAGGAGAAAAAATTTAAAGAAATCCTGGATAATCCTGTATAAATATTGTAATGCACCAATTATTGCCAAAGTCAGAAATAACTCAGTGAAAGCCACAATGTGAATCTGAAAATGTTTGATGTTCCCAGTGGTAATATGAAAAATAAAACATGGCGTTGATACCCGACCGCCCTCACTCTCCTCTCCCGTCTGATCTCCTCCTGGTCAAAGCCGCTGTAAATCACCTTAAAGACCTGACAGCAGTTGCATTTTAGACCACTAGGTATTGGTGTTTCTTATCCAAGCTCTATCGCCCCCTGCGCTACAGCAGCAGTCTTATCAAATCAACACCTCCCTCCCCCACACAGCTTCCTACCCTCTACTAATCAACACAGGAAACTCAGAGTAGCATTTAAGCTCATTTTAAAATCCAACCTCCCAAAGGTCTTCTCTCACAGTTTGGGTATCGGATTACGCAGGGGTCAGTCAGTACCATTCACTCCACACGGGCAGGGCTCCGGTTTATTATGAGGACACTGGGGTATTTAGTCTATCATCCACTGATATTGCTGCTCACCCTCTGTGTTTGTTGATGGATAGAGGACAGGCAGACAAAACAGAGCAGAGAAGGAAATGAAAGCTCAGGAGCCACGACGGATTCGTGGTATATTAAACTATTTTTCACTTGCTGATATTCCTAGTTAGTGTTGTTGACATGGTGGATTTAGTGTGCTGGCAGACGAATGAAGGGAGATTTCTTTCTAATGAATGTTGAGCTATGTAACAGTATACAATATACAGTATATTTTTATGCAAGCACATTGCTCACACACAGAATGACAGAGTGCTCAATCTCTATTTGAAGTCCAAATGAAATAATTGATGGTGGTAAATGACGTTCCTTGGGTCTACACATACACTTATTGGGTCTTTTAGTTCAACTGATTTGAATTTTAACTCCATATAGCTGTCCTCTGGCCTAAAAAACATCACTTCTTCCTTCTCCTTTTAGTCGAAGTTTTAGTCTCTCCTAATTAAGTGATGCAAGCTTATTCCCTCACAGCCTGAAAAAATGTGAGCAAATCCAGGGCAGACGCAGTGACTAAACAGCTTTCAGATGACCCCTGGCTTTGATAAAGACCAGCAATGTTCTTGGCGGTGTGGACGGGATATCTGAATGATGGTCTAACTGCTCTACGGTTATATGTGTGTTCGTATAGGCTGCTGAGATGGTGGAGGATGAAGTGGACCCGGACTCCCAGAGCTGGGGAGGCATGAGAGGTGAGAGTGAAAATAAATGAGCGCTGCTTATCTCCTGCTCCTTGTTGTGTTCCTCGGCATGTTTGCTGGTTTGCAGGCTTTTTCCGGTGTTGCACTGTTGATGTGCATGAGCTAAATGCCTAAAATACACACAGAGTAGTCTGTAGATATTTGGACAGTAAGGGCCCGATTTACTAACATCCAGAATAAAGAGTACTAAATTTCGTGTGCATTCAAAAATATTGCACGTGCAATTTTACTACCTGTTATGGGTGATTTACTAAGAATTATTTCATAGATGACAACAGGAGAAAACACAATGGAGGTGGCCGTATTTAAATGAGGGGTTTTCATGTTTTAATGGTTTCCGGCATAAAGTCGGGAGGGAAAGCAACCACTGCGTAAAAACCTTGGTTTGTTTCATTCAGTGCGTCCCAAGTATGTGGAAATCGTCTGTACCTGCCCATCCTGCCTGAGATAGAAGTACTTGGGACAGCACACCTGACAAACTGCTTTGGGAAACCCCAGCAGAAACAACTACAGTATGCTGGAATGACCCAGACGCGAGGAAATGCCAGCAGATTGTGCTTCATCCAGCCAGAGGGAATAATCATCGACCATCCGCTCCGTGATCTCCTGTCCCTGAACGCCCCAACGCCCGATTCCCTCTCAGATACCTACAGTGGGTTGTGTCGCTATTACGACCGGCGCGCTGTGAACAGTTGGTGATCGTTCCCTCTGGCTGGATGAATTTTAGAGAAAAGAAGTCAGTCAGAAGTATTGGATATAGAATAATATTGTCTTGTTAATTTCTCTACGTCTTCTTTTCTTCTGGCAATGATAACAGAAGCCATCTCTGCGCAACACTTGGCGTGGTTTGCACCTTCTTTTCAAATGTATAAAATACAGATGCTGTTGCACTCACATGAAACTGCTTTTAGGCTTGGCCCTAAGACTTTCTTCTTGTTGTGGCTCTTCTCCAGCAGAGGTTACAGTTACAGCTCTAAGAGTGTTTGAAGGTGTTCATAGCGTAGCCCTTTTTCGGACAGTTCAGGGAACAGTGAAATGCCAGTCACCTAACCTGAATCCAGTTGATTATGTGTTTCACTGCTGAAGACCAGATTGAACTCAAAAAGCCCCTGATACCAGCAGGAAGTGTTGATGGCTTCAGTCCAGGCCTGCCACGGCATCACCTGATGTCTGTGGGCCAATGACTGCTAAGGATTGCAGCTGCATCATGACTTTGTTAAGTGACTTTCTATCCCCTAAATGTATCTTCGTCTGCAGCTTTGATAATAAAATAATTGTTTGAATCATTTTTCAAGTAAAAATGGAATGTAAATTCACTAGTTCTATCCTCTCAAATGTCAAGAATTATTGCTTTTGGTCTGTTTGACAGTAAACTGAATATCTTTGGGTTTTGGACTGTTGGTTGAACAAACAAGCAATTTCAATGAGTCATCTTGGGCTCTGGGACATCTCGTAGACCACAGGAATATTCATAAAAAGTTGATCTCATCCACTTATTTACTGTAAATCGCCTGTTGAACATATTTAAATCAGGCTCCAGATCACATCAAGGAACCCAGGCAGCACTAATACAGCTGTTAAATGACATTGGTCTGAACACTAATTCAGGTAGAACATCATTCTGTGGTGCAGCTTTCAATGCCTCTGGCCATAAAATACGTCATGGCAGACTGGAGGATTGGGTAGAATCAGTTACTATTGCACAGTCCTCCATTGGTTCAGATCTCCTCACCATGATTTGTGGTGTCCCCCGGGGTTTGATTCATGAGCCTCCACAGTATTATTCAGCCTGCATGTGCTCTCTCTGAGCCAACTCGTGCAGGCCAGTACAGCAAGTCCTCATCATGCATGCAAAACAATGCATAGTTACTGAATTCATCCAAAACTGACCCAGAATGTGAAATGTGTTTTCTTAATGAAATGCTACTCAGAGTTACTTTTTACGTGCACTGTCTTTGGCTTTTTTAATCAAATGACCAGATTGTTTTTTTGAGAGGATGATTCACCCACGAAGTTTCCTTCCAAGCCTCGGAAGTGCTCCAATGTCAGTCACCTGATGTTGTCCATGTAGAAAAAGCACATTTTTGAACTTTTTCTTTACTTTAACATTTACTGAACCCCACCCTCAGACGACGATCAGCTAAAATCTTAAACTATAAAATGTGAAAAGGCCCGCGTCATCTTCTCCTTCAAGTGCAGATCTAAGGTCACTTCACAATCCCTGATTACATGACATGACGTGACATGCAGAGCCCTGCAGTTCTGGCTCCAGATCAGTTACTGGAGGTAACGACATAGAGAGGTGATGTAATTTTTCCAGCTGCAGAATTATTGGTGTGTGTGTGTGTACAGTCGATGGCTGTATCTTGGGCAAAGACTGGGTTGACAGGAAGCCAACCTCATAACGTGTGTGTGTGTGTGTGTGTGTGTGTGTGTGTGTGTGTGTGTGTGCAGAGCAACTGTTTATAAAGCTTTTGACGCATTGAAACCCAATATTTTTGTGGAGATTTGAGTCCACACGGTGTAATTTTTTTTTCAAGCTCTATTATGGTAGTTTTCATAATAGGTCTGCTATTCAAATAAAAACTCATTGTTCCACCAGATTAATTCTCTTCTTCTCTCTCTTTTTTTCCCTCCCTCTCAGAATACAAGGTAAGATTTTCCTCATTTCTTAACACTTTACAAATGATATATTGGCAGCTTTGTTTGGACTCTGGATTATAATTGTATTCCCTAATAAATCTCCCACAATGCTTACTTTGTGTGTGCCAGATCTACCCGTATGAAATTCTGGCAGTGACGCATAGAGTGAAAGTGAAGCTTCCCAGAGATGTAGATCGCACCAGACTGGAGGTGAGCTCTGATCTTCTCCCTGCTCTGTCGTTTCCCCTCGCTTAAAATCAGAATTATGCACTTTGGGGGAAGTAGCCATGCAGCTAAGCCAGGCGGGATAAAAGTATCAGCCAAAGCTTAGAGAAGTGCTAACTCCAATTTTTGTGAAGGTGGATGAATGATTGCAATTTAGCTTCTTTTTTTTTTAAAGAAATACTGTGTAGCCAAAAGTGTGCGATTAAGTATTTCATGATTTGGCTGTAGGCCAACAAGGGCCTCAGTATGGTATAAGTGCTGCACAGGACAAGTCAGAGTTTTAACAGCTCAGAGTCAAACCAGACAAAACGTGTGGCCATTCAATCTAAAAAAAAAAAAAAAAGAATGTAAGTGGAAAACTACAAAAGTTTGATATTTCCAATGTCCTCGCTTATCATGTCCTCGAGTTCACAATCTACACTTTCGCACAAATGATGTTTTTAGACTCTGTAACGTCAACGTTGACTTTTCTTAAGTAAAACAAAAACTAGTTAAATGAAACTAAATAAATGTATTAGGAGCAGGGCCTCTGGCAGTGTGCCGAAGTCTATGAATTGAATTTAGTAGGAGGATAAAATTAGCTAAACAGAGTTAAATGCATAAGGAGGAAAAACACATTTTTCTGGGGCTGGTGAAACAATGTGTAAAGGGCTGAACTTGTGGACTGCTGAATTTCATGCATTTTAAGAGGGCCGCTGCCATCAGAAACAGAGCTACACATTCACATTATTTAGGGTTCAGTATCTTGCCCGAGGACACTTTGACATGCAGACTGGGGGAGCCAGGGATTGAACCCCCCACCTTCTGATTAGTGGACGACACCTCAACCTCTGAGCCACAGGCGCCCCTCTCTAGCCTCACATGATTTCATTTGTCTATCTAGATTCGTAAAGACACATACAGATAAGCTTTTGCAACAGTATGATTCCATTTGATTAGATTCAGCTCAGATTTGATCCGTTCATTTTGTGTGACCCGATGTGTAAAAGCGTTAGAAGTAGCGTTAGCTGCAAGGCTAGCGTTATTTGCCTTGGAGGTGTGTGGCGGCCCCGGCCAACACCCCGAGTGTGGCCATTTGGAACAGCTAGAAAGATGTTTGTCTTTAGACATGGTCGGACATCACCTTGTACAACCTAGTTTGTTTGAAGCCTTTAGTTTAATGTTATATCATACACTAGTGGTCTTTCAACTCTGAGGTATCAGCTTGGGTTCACTCAGTGACTGGCCTACACAGAGCGCTGACCTCAACCCCATCCAACACCTTTGGGTGGGGGGAAGACTGGAGGCTGCAGATTAATGCCCGTAGTTTGGGAATGACATGTTCACCAATGACACACGGGTGTATTACTTCTGGCCATGTGGTGTAGTAGTGCCGCAAGAAAACTCTTTAAGATCAAGCTGCGGCATTCTTAATAAAGTTAATAAACTGTGGGGTTGAATTAAATGTGAATATAATTGGCAGAGGTTTTGGTTTTAACTTTCTGATTTTGAGTCACATTACTTTCTTTTGCGCTGGGTCACGGCAAGTTCAACCCACATGCATGTCTTATAATAAAACAATTAGGCACAATTGGACTTAATGTCCCGTAGTAACTCATTTCCTGTAGCTGTTATTTTTACACTACCCATTTACAGATTCAGAACGTTCATTAAGTTTGTTCAGCTGAGAACAGGAAATATTTTAGTCCATAAAGAAGTTCCACATAGGATTTATAAAGTTGTGGTTTGTCTTGTGGTGCAGCACTGATGGTCCTCCTGTCCTCAGACGACGTTTCATGAACCTTTGTTTTCCAAAAACACCCCTTTAAAATATTTAAACCTTCAGTCACCCTAATATGAGAACTCCCTGTCAGCCTTTCTGGGAATATTGTCCCAAGAGGAGTCGGGCCGTCGGGATATCGAGGTGTCACTGACGCAAGAGATCCCCTTTGTGGTCGGCATCACCAGACTGGAGCCAGATTGTCATGAGTGTCAATGTGTGTTTGTCAGAAAGAAATATTCCAACCTCGGTTTTACCCACCACTGTTCCCGATCCTTGACCCTGAAGTGGTGTTGCTTTACCCAAACTAATCAGCGGCTAAAAAAAACTCAAACTCAGAGCCAAAACACTTCACCATTAGGCAATTTAACCACATGGGATATTTTTTCTGGTGGCTGCTGTGTGAGGAGATGCTTTTGTTTTTTTAATACACTGTAATATCTATAATATATATAGTATAATATAATATAGTCCTGATAGAAACTACAGTACAGTATATGGGTATGGGTACACTATGAGTACAGCAGACTCCTCTCCAATAGTTCTTGGGATGTCAGAAATCATGAAGTTAGGAGGAACTTGTTGGTGGAGCACAAACTACGGCCCAGAAACCAAATCTGTAACCAGTTTAATACCACAGTTAACCATCAGGTTTCTTCAACTTTCACGCAGAAATAAGCCTTTAAACTTGAAAGAAATAATGATTTGACATTTATCCTGACAATTATCGATATCGAATGATATGACATTTTTTATCGTGAAAACATTTTTGGCTGTATGGTCCAGCCCTACACTCCAGCCTATTGCACACCCCAGTCAGTGATGTCGAGTAGGTGTTTTACCATTGACCACTGACAGAAAACACCCTTTGTGACATCACTGACTGGGTTTGAAGCCATATGAGCGTTGGTTTTACAATCACTAGTAATGGTGACTATACTATAAAATACTGTGAAAAGGTTCTTGACAATAGAGATTGTTTTCTGTGTCATTTTACGAAAATGGTATCCTCCTGTCAGCATGGCTGGTGAAAAATGAAAGGGATCTGGATGTTTTTGCCTAACGGTGAAAAAAATCGCTCTACATTCCTCCCTCTGTTTGTTGGTATGGAAACCAGGTGATTGGCTACCACACAGTAACAGCCTGCCTCTAATTTACTATCACTGTCATCAGAGAGACGCACAACTGCTGCGCACAGAGCAGCCAAGTTTTACAATAAAGTGGCGTTTGCTTTTGTTCGGGGTCTAAATCAATACCATGCATGTTTTTGTTCTATGCTATATTTTTTACACTTACAGAGCAGTTAGTGAGTGTTTGCAGCGAGAGCCAAGCTGGGTTTTGGATGGCAGTCTTGTTTGGATGAACTTCTGAGGCCCAGAATTGAGTTTGGTGTGTTAAACCTCAATACAGAAGGCAATGTAACGCCTGCTTATGTGGTGAACACAAACATGAGCATAGGATTGATGAATGTCTTCTGTGTGAGTCCAATCTGAGAGTACGAAGCTGCTGCTGATTTAGCATACAGCACAAGTGGGTGAGAAAAGTCTTGCTGGCCCTGGGGGCAGAAACCATCTCATTTGGTTCGGGTAAATCTTTTGTTTAATTGAGCCAAAGAACCACATGTTTTTGTGCCTCAGTAGAACATGTGGCTCATTAGAGTGAAGCCCAGTGAAACTACACCAAGACAGAGAAGAGAAAGCAGCGTATAACATAAAGCACCAACTATTTGAACTAAAATCAGTCTTTCTTTTAGAGAACAGAGAAAACACGTCTGAAGAAGCTGTCACATTAGCTGTGTTGCACCTTTCAGTTTCATTTATTTATTCTTTGTCATGACCGAACCAACCAGTGTTAGCCACTTTACTTAGCTTAGTCAGGCTAAATTTAATTTTCGTACTATTCACACTAGCCTATACCGTACGTAGAAGTTTTAAGCTAGCTGGCCATCTGTCGCTTTTTATAAATAATTAATTAAATGGCCTTAAAGTGTGTAATATTCAGGAGGATCTATTGACAGAAATGCAATATAATATACATAACTATGTTTTCAGTGGTGTATAAAGACCTTACATAATGAACCGTTATGTTTTATTTAACCTTAGAATGAGCCATTTCTATCTACCTACATCGCAGGTCCTCTCACATGGAAGTCACCACGTTGCTCCACCATGTTTCTAGAATAGAGATTAGAGAGGGATCACCTTCTTGGTAAAAAAACACCAACACTGACTGTCAATGCTAATCCCACTCTCTCTAATTAACATAGTTCTTCTGCTGTGTTACGGTTTTCCAGAGACACCTTTCTCCTGAGGACTTCCAGCGGGTTTTCGGCATGACCCTGGAGCAGTTTGACCGCCTGGCCCTATGGAAGAAGAACGACATGAAGAAGAAGGCGCGCCTTTTTTAGACAGAAAAAAAATCAACATCTCAACAAGCAACCGCCCTGTCTGGGAGGAAACGGAAAAGAAAACCATCCCCTGTGAAATATCTATATATGCATCGCCATGATACCCTTACTTTCCACCTGTAAAACGGCATCTGCCACGGAGAGGCGCTCCCTGCCGGAACATTTTCACCATGTTGAGGCAGCATCTATAGCTTTTTGTATGCGATGTGGTGCGTATGTTTGACTGACAACTTTACAGAAGAGGACGAGGAGCTGCGTTTGCATGGCCTGTGTTGATGCTCCTCGCTTCCCATGTGGTTTCTGCAACCCCCCCCCGCCAATCTTGATGCTTTCATACACCCTGGCAAAAATAACAGCCTTTTCTAAATCTCGTGCAGGCCTTCCCCCAGGTTTCTCTGCTTCTGACTGTTTTATGTGCGCCCTCTTCTACTCTGTCTATCTTGACTTATCTCCCTGTTTCTATCTCAAGTTTTTCATCAGCAGCTAGTTTGTTTTCACTTTGCAAGAGTTTTTCTCGACATATCATCTGTTCGCTGCTCTGCCTTTTCTCTCCCGCTGTTCTTCCATCATTTTAAGTTTCTCTCTCTGCACTGACTGACTGTTACAGTGACAAGCCAGTTCATTTTTTACTCCCTTGCCATAGCTTCAGGGCAGTGAAGAGACTGCAGACTTGTATACATTTAATGTTCAAGCATGTCAAGGCCAAAGACAGGAATAAGAGACAATTTCAGCTCCTCTGATCTTAAACTTAAAAAGCACCTTATCATACGCTTTTGTTTTCAGGTTTGCTTCATGTTATTTTCAATCGGAGAAGTTGGGAAACACTGGTGGGTAGTTTTGATATGCGTGCCCTGATGTGTTTGAATGCGGTCCCATATCTTACACAATCTTCTCATAAATCAGCACAGATAGGAGAGCCAGGGCTGGACATGGGCCACAGCGTGGCAGTGAATCACAGACAGAGGGGGGGATAAAAAAGGAGTGGCCCTGCAGAAAACACACAGTACAGATGGTGTCAGGGTGTGTAAAGGTGTCAAACAAGCAGCATTGCCATAAAGCCATGCATTCACATCAAGAAAACAAAATAAATTATTTTTATAAGCTATTTTTGACTTCTGGAAAGGATCGTTAAACCAATCATGAGACGCAGCTGAGAGAAGTCTTGATTTTGTTAACAGACAAAAAAAGCCCATGGTTACTTTGTTGAGCTTCATAGACCTGCAGCAGCACTAAAGTATAACAAATGGGGTCTTGCTTGATTTAAAACTCAGTACTATAACTGTGTTATATCTTCTCAGATAGAGATTTAACTCTTTATATGTTTGTTGTTTGAAAGCATTGTTGTGTAAAGTAAAAGTCCATCAGCTTTGCTTGATGGTTTCTGGACCGTATACCGATCGATGCGCCATCTAGCATACTGCAAGATGTATGTGAACATATACTGGACATATACCAGATATATCTGTCTGTATACAAGCCATGGTGTATAACTCTTCAGGCATGCATGATGGGAAAATTGGGTGTGTCCCCTGACCTCAGAGGAGAAATATATGAAAACATTATCATCAATGTGGTTTGAGTGGTTGATTATTCTCTGGTTAAACTGCGTCAGATGAAATGCCCAGGTCAGCTGCTTCCCTTAGCGTGTGTTAGGTATTTATTTAATTACAATATTAAGGAAGGGATTTTACTTTGAAATCTTAAGGGCCTAATGTCAAATGAATTGCATCACCAAGAAGAGAGTTTTTGAAGAGAAACATATCAACTTATGAGTTTAACCTGAGTGTCAAATAAATTTTGCTCCTGTAAGTAATACACTAACTATTGTCATAAAGCGTCATGTCCTCTTTCTAGTATTCATCTGCTATTAAAGTGCTTTATCCAAAATCTGGATTGGAGGGCTTGAGTTTGTCAAATAAATGTAAATTTTACTGATGGAATGACCTTAATGTGTGTAACATATACAGTAGCTCACAAGTGAGTACACCCCTCACATTTTTATAAATGTTTGATTCTTTTCATGTGACAACACTGAAGAAGTGACACTTTGCTACAATGTAAAGTAGTGAGTGTGCAGCTTGTATAACAGTGTAAATTTGCTGTCCCCTCAAATTAACACATCACACAGCCGTTAATGTCTAAACCGCTGGCAACCAGCCAGAGGTTCAAATCAACCTGAGTTTTCCTAAATCTAACTTAAACTAAGACTGACGAAAGTGTCTTCCGTCAGAATGTGACATAAAAATACTATTATTGTTATTAAATATTTGTTCTTAAGTTAAATATACTTACATATAGCACTCTTATCAGAGAAGAATAAGCTAATAGGCAAAAAATGTGATATTTTATGATTGGATTATGAACGAACGCTGTCACATTGTTGTCACATTATCACTTGATACATTACTATATCTGACATAGCCGTTTTAACCATAGAACGATAAAAGAAGTGGGACTAGCATTTTGAAGCCTGGAGTTTGGCATTTTGGCCGTCTCCATCTTGGTTTTAGGGAACAAGATGTGTCCATATTTGGACGAGAGGGTGGCACTAACTAGCTACCTAGCAAGCTGCGTCCGTAATTCACATTAAGTGTGATGTTATCCCGGATGCTAATTTTGTCTAGCGAAAAACTAGCTTAAAACAAAATGTACATACCGGAAAAATTAACAGCTGACTCCTAATAAGCTTTTTTGACAGCACTGGTCAAATGTACACAGTGCAGTTGATATAAGTCGCCTCTATACTGATTGAGGTCACCATGGTAGCAACTTGTCAGTCACAAGATAGCCACGCCCTAAAGCATACCCTGCTTTATGGTCTGTTTTCCTCTACCGACGCTTGTCACGCTTACTGAAAGGGTCGGTCATTGACGCACTGAGATGAGAACGTGTTGAACTGGGACCATTATAAACTAAATAAACAATTATACCGTGTTGAAGACCTATTTTAGCCTATTTTTTAGCAATGTTGACATGTTCCAAGAATTCAGCAAATACTTTGTTACAACACCTGAACCAAGGCTGCAAAACCAAGTATTGGCAGACTGCAGTTTTCCTTTAAGGTCAGAGAGTCACAATCAGAGCTGTTTCAAACTTGTTTAAATTTGTCAGCAGAAAATCTGCCACTCTACTGTACTGTTTTATTCTGCATGTAATGACTAGTTTTGAGAATGCTGAGCCACAAGTCAATAAATCAAGGCTCGTGACTGAAACACATCACATGTCATTGTTATCTGCTGATGCTAGTTCCCCCCTGACACCAGCACACAGCACAATCCCCACTACTTATTTCAAAATCAGCAATCTACTATCATCTACATGGACCATGGATTATTCAGTCTCAGATTTTGATGATGCTGGGAGTAAGGATGCATCCCATGAGTTAAAGATTACACTTATTATCCTCATAAAGGATGGCACATCTCTCTCATTTGCTTCATTACATGTTAGGTGACTAGGCATCAGATAGAGCTTACATCCAAGAAAGATACAAACAATCAACTAAAAAGTACAAATATAAGCGTCAAGTGAAGCTGGTGTGAATGTAGCAAAAGTGATGCTACTTCAGAGGAGTAAGTGGAGAAGGACCCAGCCCGAGTGGATTACACAAACGTTTCACCTCTCTGGGCAAACAGGCCTCTGACCCAGAGAAAACCACCCTGAAGACGTTCACACATTGCTCAGTGCCAGTGGCTTCACAAGATTCACATCGGAAAACATATTTATCCCTATTGTTTGTATTTCATGTTTGCCACCAAAATCAATGTAGAAAAATGAAGGTCTCAGAACCAGATCATTTTCATGCTAGATTTTATCTTAAAATTTGATTTGTTTGGAAAATGGTTTGGCATTGATCATCAATAATTCAAAAGAAAGCACAGTGTCTGGTGAGTGTTGGTTTGTTTTGGCTACATCTCTTTGTCTGTTTCCTGGTTGACTTCATGGCAAATCTGCAAAGAAAGGTGATGTCCACCTTGTAATAAATGTAAATTTAGTGTTGTGTTGAAGATGAATGAGGAACATGTGCATCTGCTTCATCAGTTATCTTGAATATTTGCTGTCTGGATGAAACAGATTGCTTTCTCATCTTACTTCTCTTCTGTAATATCCTCCTCTCTAATCCTTTAAAAACAGCAATTAATTCTGGATGCATTGTGTCCTTAGGGGATCTTAAATTCATGATTTTGTTTTATTAAATTTATTAGACAATGAACATCATGTAGTTTAAGGTTACAAAAACACTTTGAGGTCAGGGGAAGAATTGAGCTGATTTTTTCAATAATGAACCAAGACAATAATCTTTCTGCTCTGATTAAACATAACCTTTTTTTTTTTTTTACCAGGAGACATTACAAATTAAATATTTAGTTTTGAAGATACTTGCAACATTTTATTTTTGCAACTTTGCAAATAAGGAGTTGACTAAGATGTTTCCTCCTTTGTTTGAAACAATGATCTTCCAAAATGTATCTGCAGTTGACAGTGAGAGGTGAGTCAGGATATCTGGCGCTTCTTCGAACAGTTTGAACCCCTCACTTCATCAGAGACGGGAGACAGGAGCGTGGGACCCACAAGACCCGCCTCTTGTGGCGGAGCCACGCAATTGGCCGACACCGCTGTCGGTCACTGCTGGGGGTTTGACAGGCTGCACCCCCTTTTGTCACCGGTCCGAGAGGAATATTTCTTTTTAACATGGAAAAGGAGAAAAACGAGCAAGGTAAGCTGCCTGCTGCTTTGAAACACTTTGTTTGTACAAGTTATACAAGCTGTTTGTTGGCCGTTAGCTTGTTGTCGCGAGGCTGTTAGCTTGGTGTTTAGCTTCCCTCAGTGGGTTCATTCAAGGCGCAGTGATGGGAGACAGAGGATGGTGTTGGCTTTTAGTTTAAAGAATGGCGTTTCTGGCTAAATCTTGGCATAAAAGTCCTGAAGAGACTTGTGTCTTAAGAAGTGCATCGCTTTACTGTCAACTTTGTGTACTTTGGTATTTGTATCAGTCTCATTAACAGCCCTACAGTATTATTAAAGGTCGTTAAAGGGTCTGTGTGCTGTAACCCGTGACTTTAAAAGGCAACCTATTGTCTCTAATAGTATTTTTGTGTCACTAGATTCAGCTTATTTCGACATTATACTGTAATATTTAATAGCATCTTCCTGGTTACTCTATCACTGTAACACCTGGTCATCTACCTAGGTATTTTTATGAATCAAGAATCTCTAAAATATAAAGGATTTTAAATGCAGTTGAATGAAAATGGTAATATTCTGCTGTACTGGAGGATACAGATAAGTCAGTACAACATGCAGGAGATGCAGTGTTGTGAATGGGACCATACAGGGTACAAAGGACCATGTGGCAGGACAGGAGAGGAAGAGGAGGAGGAGACAGCAGTGTGATTAATTGGCAGACTCAGGGCGTGTGATGCCCCGGGCTGGAGACTGCAGGCTGCTCCCAGCATCAGCAGCCCTGCAGGGGGGGGGGGGGACCAGCTGGGAGCCCTGGATCTCTGTCAACTCCCTATGCTTGCTGTGACCTCCAGACAAAAGCTCCCAAGGTCTTTCTTGAGAGGAAAAGAGCAAACGAGGCAGCCTAATGGACTGATGATGCATCTCAGCGCTCCAAAAATACGTGTGAAATAATGTGGTTTTAAAAAAAATCAAAGCTATTGTCCACAGTGATGTATTGGGCTCGGGCTGACCGTATTTCCAAATGCATACATCCTTCAGTCAATTGGATCATTTTCAACATCTTGGTTTTTGAGGATGTTGAGACATTTTGTTAAGAGTTGCCACAGCTCTGAAGTGGAGCCACAGGCATCAGCTGATCTGCAACCCCCCACCCTGATGCAACAGACTGTGGATGGAGGAGGGTGTTCCGGCAGCCCGGGGATGCGGGACAAATCCAATTAATCAAATACAACAGAGCAAGCGGACAGACAAAGCATGAGATTTGCAGTAATTAGGCAGGAAGTTTTGGTAGGATCAAACAATCGTGGCACTGCAAAGAGACTCATACTAAAGCACTAGCCACCGTCATTAGCCATCTGTTTACATGGACATTAGATTAGACTCATTTATGTCTTCATCTGCTATTTTAATGCAGTTAATCATTTGGTCAATAAAATGAAAGAAAATAGTGAAAAATCCAAGTAAGCATATTTAAATTGGACCCTGGATTACTTTCATTTGATCATTTATTTGTGATTTTCCTTCTGTTGACAAAAAAAAAATGGCTACATAATAACAGAATCAATCAAAATGAACACAACTAATTCCTGGAGATGCTGGGCCAAAATAAACATTAAATCAGGAAGAATCTGACTAAAGTGTGAAGGCCTCAGTATGTTTCAACCAAAGTGTTTGTCCAAGTTGTGTAACAGCATGTGGGAAGGTTCTTTTGTAACTCTCTGACATGACAGATCATGACGCCCACTTTTACACAGCGACTCGGCCTGGTGTGTGACGGTGGGAAGGATCTGAACTCCTCTCTTCTCTTCTCTTCCGAGCGCAAGGCCATGAATGCTTCGAGTAGTATGACTGTCTGAATATGTGCATCATTATCCCCAGATTTACGGCGTCCAGACTACAAAGACAGACAAAAGACACAGACAAAGTTGTTCATTTGAAAAAGATTAGCCTACACATCTAACCACACATGTAATGTCAGCTTTTGGTACTTGCCAGTTTTTGAGACTCTGCTACGGACACATTGCAGATTATGTACTGCACAGAGACCTTACATAGGCCAAGGAATACTCTTTGGACTGTTCCTGTACCATTGTCTTCACTTTTCTTACCTTAGCTGACCTTTCCCTGTCCTGAATTTGAATTCCAAGAACTCTTTATACTTATGCAGTCTATTGTTTTTGTTATTTTTGACCATTATTGTGTGTG